TATTTAACCTAAGAAATGTGACAGGCAGAAAGCATTACCAGAGCGGGTGTCCACTTCTTCTGGGCTTAAAGATTCATCTGTTTATGAACAAAGAGAATAGGACATGTGTTCATTCGTTCATCAGAAAGAGGGGCTGTTGATCATATTTAACTTAAGAAATGTGACAGGCAGAAAGCATTACCAGAGGGAGTGTCCATTTCCTCTGAGCTCGAAAATTCATCTGTTCATGAACAAAGAAAATAGGACACGTAAAAATTAGAGAAAGGACACTTCTGCATGTCTTCTCATTGAGGTTTACTTTGTTGTCAAAATGGTCATCAAATAGGCTCATTTTCTAAGTAGAACACAAGTAAGAAGCTGGTCTCATTAGGTTAAATTAATTAAACAACACAATGAGAGAGCCTTTACCAGATGGAGAGGCCACTTCTGCTGAGGTTGAAGAAATACCTATAGAAAAAGAGAAGAAGAAATGTAAATACCAGTGGCGAGGACTCCTGCTTCTGTTTCTGTTTCTGCTGAGGCTGTGTTGGGGACAAAGTTTTTATGAACAGCCTGGTCTGATAAAGGGAACTCCAAGAAGAGTCACTTAATGGGGCAGTGGGCAGTGTTGTACCTGGTGTGGCGGTCGCAGTGGTTGAAACTGAAGCTGCAAGATGAGCAAAAATCGTAAGACAAAAATAAGACAGCCCTGTCAAACCCACTTTTCTAGGACATGGTCCATCATAGATCAGTGTGACTGGCCTGGCTTGTCTTTCTGCTTTACAGATGGGCAGTGGCAGGGAAGCTCCAGGTCCTCACTGTCCCCAGGCCGCCCCTCCACTCCCTGGGTCTCCATTTCTCTTGCCCACAGTTTACTTCTGTTGAAATTACCTGTTCAGAGAGCAACAAGCCGTGGTCTAAGTTTCTCCACTGTATGGGGTGCATCTAACAGAGTCTGTAAATGGGCAACTTGCTTTTCCTCGTCCCTCCTCCTTCCCTCAAATGGGGGTGGGAGGGGACCCAGCAAAGGGTGAGCTCTGCCGACTAGAACTTTCCTTAGGCAGGCAGTCCCAGACCTAGCCTGCAGGTGAGGAGGGGATGGCAGGTCCATTTGTCTCCTGTTCTTAGTGTTGACCTCCAACACCGCTTTCTCAGTAATAAGGACTACATTTTGGTGTTGACTCTGCTATTTTCTTAATTGTTTCAGACCTAGGGTAAGGGGCAGCACTCTGTTTATTGTCTTCTCCCAAAATGAACCTCCAACACTCATTCATAAACCCAGAGCCACACTGGGAACTCCTCAGGTAATTGCAACCAGCATCACTCAAATTTATGGTACAGGAGGAGTTGCTTGTTACCTCGGTCAGCTCTGCCTTCCTCATTGCCTTGGCACAGAGCCTGGCATGCGGGCTGAATGTCTAAGGAGCATCAGTAGAAGCTATGGCTTGACTCCCCACCATTCTGGCAACACCCGCATGGTGGTTGTTCTCCAGGAGAAACTCCCTTGAGGGATGGTTGACCTTAGGCCACCAGTCAGTCCAGTGAATGACTCATTGTTTGCATGTGGCTGAACTGGCCAAACTGATTTTTCTCTTGGCTCATGCATTTATCTGCACGGCCTAGAGTTCATTCACCATCAGGGGCCATAGGGGTAGCCTATGTGAGTCAAGTCCATATAAACATATTGAAAAACTCAATAAAGTCAAATAATTTGATCAGGACACAAAGAGCTGTTTGATGAGCTCATTGGAAAATCAAATAAGATAATTTATAGCAAGCAAGGTAGATGGAACCCCAAATCACACCAAAATTACCTGGTAAGGTGGTTACAGCAATACTCAGAGATTCTGAAAATAAGAAAAGGCAACTGGTTAAAACTTGCCACATGGCAAAAATGTTTTACAGTTAGCTTTACTTCTTCTTACCCTGGAGCATAGAAATCATGGGTTTTTATATGAAATCTCCTATATAAAGATGTGGTATGAAAAAAAATTAAACATTGCATAGGCAAAGCTTTCTCGCCTGAACCAAAACCTATCAGCAGGTCAAAAGTGACCCACGGGCTGCCTGTTTGTGACTTCAGGTCTTAACACTCTCGAAGGTTTTTTCCAACTCTGGTTCACTGTGATGGTGCCATATTGAACTTCCGGTCGAAGAACCTGGCAGCCAATTCTCACAGATCCAACCTCAAAAGGGAATTTTGTTTCAACATATGATTTTCCTTCAAGGTCAGTTTCTACCAAGCCTGGCAGACGGCTCTGAGATTTGGGAAATATGGACCATGAGTTACTTTTGTAACTTTTGATGGTTCAGAGAAAACTTGAGATGCTATTTCTCCAATTTACGTAGCCCCATGTTGACAGACTCAAGCCCATGAGAAGGACGTTTATGAAAGGACACATAAGTTTCATGACTTTGAAAGCCGGGCAGGTCTTGGCAGGCGCAGTAAACACATCCCTCAGAAATGTGACCACCAAGCTCCCATTACTGTGTGCTTGCACAAGCGTGTGCTTCTCAGTCCACAGCACAAGCTTCACCCTCTTGTTCTATAGGTAAGAAGGAGGCCCTGAGAAGTAAGGGACTTGTCCACTGTCACCCAGTTGGTTAAGGCTGGAACCAGAATATAATCCTAGGTTCTCTGGCTCCAAATTCTGTGGTGCTGCATTTCCACTCAAAAGGTCTCAGTGGTCAAAGAAGTCTGGGAAATACTGGGTGAAGGCAAGTTTAAACAAGATTCTTTACTGCAGGACTTGTCAGAGACTTTAATAGGCTAATAGACTTAATCTTCAAGAGAGGGGCATGGTATTTCTTCAACTTATTTAGCCATGCAAATCCTTTTTGAAAGCTTGCATATCATTGGATTGGTGTACTTTACTATGAAAACTATGAAACACGTGGGAGTTGTGGTACTCTTATTATTTTCTGAAAATGCGATCAGAGGAATAGTTTAGCCTGAGATACCTGAAGTCCTGAGACTGTTAAAAATATCTGCTCACTGAATACCTAAATGTGTGAACCTTGATGAGAGTATGAGTGAAGGCCATGTCACTGTGACTTTGCTTCTGAGACTTGCTATTGCATCAAGGGAGCGCTGGACCTGTGCGTCCCATGTGTGGGATGTGCATCATCAACGTCATTTAATTCACTATTTCATTCAATGAATCTATGAGCACCTTGTGTTAGTTTGATATGAGCTTGATATTTAGTTTCAAATGAGGTATAAAACTTAACTCCAACCATACGGAAGGCAATGTATGCAGATATGATTTATACAAAGCAAGGGAGAAAATAAAATTACCAGGTGAAGTGGCCATTTCTGTGGCTGACACTGAAACTGAAAAAGAAAACTGAAACTAAAGTAACATAAAATCCAAGCAAAAAGCCCACCCACAGGTAGGAAATCTAGAAGATATTTTATTTAAAACATTTATATCTCAGGATATACTAAAATTAGATACCAGATGACTTCTGAAGTGTGAAATTAAAAATAAGAAAAGTTTTTTTGAATGAGATGGAAATAGAGCTAGGGATGCATTGCGGCAAGAGGTGAGAAATGTTCACGGACTGTGGGAGAAGTATTACCTCCCAGGATGGGTCAGAAAAGCTGTTTCACGGATGCAGTGAAGAGGAAAAGTCTTCTAGAGTTTTGAAGTCCCAGGAACTTCCTTAATTCTGACTTTAGGTTTCTAACATCGATTTCTCATTTTCACCAAACTAGCTTATAACACAGCACCGAGTTGTCTGAACATTAAAGCAAAGTGATTTCTTAACATAATTCAGCATATTTTGACCCCTGATTCAATGTAAATTTACTTTTGTTAATGATGTATTGTGGCTGAAACGTATAAGCAACCCTGAACCCTGTGGCTGGAACGTGCCCCACGAGGGCAGGAGTGTTGTCTGTTGTGCAAGGGACTGTATCTTCACCTAGAATTGCTCCTGGCCCATATTAAATGCTCAGTAAACATCTGATAACAAAAACAGATGAATTAACTAAACCTTATTCTAGTCTTAGCTCTATAAAATTAAGATGAGCTGGGCAATGAATATTTTCATTTCGTCTGATTTCCTTTTCTATTCTACTTTTTTGGCAGCCTTGGATAAGTAAGTGGGTGAACTAAAAAAAGAAAAAAAAAGGAAACTATCTCAAACCACGAAGCCAAAAGGAAATTCCAAGTTTTCACCAAAGTGTGCAAGAGAGGAGCTGGATTTTGTTCATGGAATTCCGAAAGGCTGCACTATGAGGCCATATTTAAAGCTCTAAGCAGATCATTAAGACAGAGACTAGGGGGTGCAGTCACTGCGGTAATAGAAGGCGTCTGATAAATAATCCCGTGAAGATGGCAGAGACTGAGGGCTTCCGAGTGAGCTCGTGGGTATTGGTTTAAGCCCTGTGTAGCTCAGCAGATTGAGAGAGGCTAAGAATGACCCAGAAGCCTCCTGGAATCAATGGGACCCAAGCCTCCTTCCATTCGTTTTGTTCGTTCACGGCGCCGGCAGCTTCAGGAGAAGGCCAAGAGTGGGTACTTGAGCAAATGACCCCGGCGTCCTCACGGTGGCCGCAATTGTGGAAGGGCAGGCCCAGCTGCCGGCACTGGCCATGGGTGGTCTCATTGCTCGGGCACTGCACATTGTCCGGGAGGATGCTCCCCATGCCCTCCCCAGCATGGCCATTCCCCAGGGCGCTGCTGATGCCCTCCCCACAGTCCAGCCGCTGGCACACCCAGTAGTGTGACCCAAAGGGATCACACAGCGCCCCCACGTGCTGTTGTGTTCTACCTCAGTGCGCCCTCACAGCGGCTCCTCCCATCCACCAACCTGATGATGGGCAAGTCTGGGGAGGACTCAGGGGTCATTCCTGGAGGGGGATCAACAGTGCTGGCAAGAGATTTCTAATAAGACTTTTCTTTAGTTCTTCCTGTAACAAACTCTGAATTCTAGCAGTCTAGAAACTCTTGCTTCCTCTTTCTAAGTCCCGTGGGCATAAGTCATATTAGTGCTCATAAATGCAGTGACTGCTTTTCCAGGCTATTTCTGATTTCAGACGTGTTGTTCCATCATTCCCCTCTTTAGATGTGAAATGCGGTAACTGCAAGGGAAGGGGCAAATATCCAAAACGTTCTAGAGAACCGGAGACTGGGCAAGACCTCTCTGTCCCTATCAGGCCTGGGTTCTCTCAGTCCTGGGGGAAGCACGAATCTGGGCACTGATATTCCTGGCTGGAACCTCGGGGAGGCCACTAGAAAGACTGGGTAACCGGGAAGCTGTGAAAGTAGCAATAAGAGAATTACCAACTGCAGGAGCTGTTTCTGCGGATTCTGGGGCACCTTCCGTAGCTAGAAGAGAAAACCAGAGGTGTTCGTGTTAGTGGAGGCGAACATGTACAAAGCGCTCACGGACACAAGCTGATCAGGCACGTGAGTCCATATGTGTGCCAGTGTGGGGGTTCAGAACATTCTGGCAAATGCAGCACCATCACAGGCAGATCAGCATTTCTAGACTAAGCCCATACCAGGCAGCATCTCTGAACTGCCTTTCCCTCATCTAGGTGAGACGCTAGCTTATTGGCACTTGCCAGAAGCATCTAGCTGAACTTTTCCAGGGACAAGCCACCAACAGCCGCTCTGGAGGTCCGAGACAGCAAAACTGGGCAGGTACCTGCCATTTTGGTATTTTGGTGCCATTTTAATTCAGAGTTTTCATTGTGAGAGAGAAGGACGTTTATGAAAGGACACATAAGTTTCATGACTTTGAAAGCCGGGCAGGTCTTGGCAGGCGCAGTAAACACATCCCTCAGAAATGTGACCACCAAGCTCCCTTTACTGTGTGCTTGCACAAGCGTGTGCTTCTCAGTCCACAGCACAAGCTTCACCCTCTTGTTCTATAGATAAGAAGGAGGCCCTGAGAAGTAAGGGACTTGTCCACTGTCACCCAGTTGGTTAAGGCTGGAACCAGAATATAATCCTAGGTTCTCTGGCTCCAAATTCTGTGGTGCTGCATTTCCACTCAAAAGGTCTCAGTGGTCAAAGAAGTCTGGGAAATACTGGGTGAAGGCAAGTTTAAACAAGATTCTTTACTGCAGGACTTGTCAGAGACTTTAATAGGCTAATAGACTTAATCTTCAAGAGAGGGGCATGGTATTTCTTCAACTTATTTAGCCATGCAAATCCTTTTTGAAAGCTTGCATATCATTGGATTGGTGTACTTTACTATGAAAACTATGAAACACGTGGGAGTTGTGGTACTCATATTATTTTCTGAAAATGCGATCAGAGGAATAGTTTTGCCTGAGATACCTGAAGTCCTGAGACTGTTAAAAATATCTGCTCACTAAATACCTAAATGTGTGAACCTTGATGAGAGTATGAGTGAAGGCCATGTCACTGTGACTTTGCTTCTGAGACTTGCTATTGCATCAAGGGAGCGCTGGACCTGTGCGTCCCATGTGTGGGATGTGCGTCATCAACGTCATTTAATTCACTATTTCATTCAATGAATCTATGAGCACCTTGTGTTAGTTTGATATGAGCTTGATATTTAGTTTCAAATGAGGTATAAAACTTAACTCCAACCATACGGAAGGCAATGTATGCAGATATGATTTATACAAAGCAAGGGAGAAAATAAAATTACCAGGTGAAGTGGCCATTTCTGTGGCTGACACTGAAACTGAAAAAGAAAACTGAAACTAAAGTAACATAAAATCCAAGCAAAAAGCCCACCCACAGGTAGGAAATCTAGAAGATATTTTATTTAAAACATTTATATCTCAGGATATACTAAAATTAGATACCAGATGACTTCTGAAGTGTGAATTAAAAATAAGAAAAGTTTTTTTGAATGAGATGGAAATAGAGCTAGGGACGCATTGCGGCAAGAGGTGAGAAATGTTCACGGACTGTGGGAGAAGTATTACCTCCCAGGATGGGTCAGAAAAGCTGTTTCACGGATGCAGTGAAGAGGAAAAGTCTTCTAGAGTTTTGAAGTCCCAGGAACTTCCTTAATTCTGACTTTAGGTTTCTAACATCGATTTCTCATTTTCACCAAACTAGCTTATAACACAGCACCGAGTTGTCTGAACATTAAAGCAAAGTGATTTCTTAACATAATCCAGCATATTTTGACCCCTGATTCGATGTAAATTTACTTTTGTTAATGATGTATTGTGGTTGAAACGCATAAACAACCCTGAGCCCTGTGGCTGGAACGTGCCCCACGAGGGCAGGAGTGTTGTCTGTTGTGCAAGGGACTGTATCTTCACCTAGAATTGCTCCTGGCCCATATTAAATGCTCAGTAAACATCTGATAACAAAAACAGATGAATTAACTAAACCTTATTCTAGTCTTAGCTCTATAAAATTAAGATGAGCTGGGCAATGAATATTTTCATTTCGTCTGATTTCCTTTTCTATTCTACTTTTTTGGCAGCCTTGGATAAGTAAGTGGGTGAACTAAAAAAGGAAAAAAAAAAGGAAACTATCTCAAACCACGAAGCCAAAAGGAAATCGCAAGTTTTCACCAAAGTGTGCAAGAGAGGAGCTGGATTTTGTTCATGGAATTCCCAAAGGCTGCACTATGAGGCCATATTTAAAGTTCTAAGCAGATCATTAAGACAGAGACTAGGGGGTGCAGTCACTGCAGTAATAGAAAGCGTCTGATAAATAATCCCTTGAAGATGGCAGAGACTGAGGGCTTCCGAGTGAACTCGTGGGTATTGGTTTAAGCCCTGTGTAGCTCAGCAGATTGAGAGAGGCTAAGAATGACCCAGAAGCCTCCTGGAATCAATGGGACCCAAGCCTCCTTCCATTCGTTTTGTTCGTTCACGGCGCCGGCAGCTTCAGGAGAACGCCAAGAGCGGGTACCTGAGCAAATGACCCCGGCGTCCTCACGGTGGCCGCAATTGTGGAAGGGCAGGCCCAGCTGTCGGCACTGGCCATGGGTGGTCTCATTGCTCAGGCACTGCACATTGTCCGGGAGGATGCTCCCCATGCGCTCCCCAGCATGGCCATTCCCCAGGGCGCTGCTGATGCCCTCCCCACAGTCCAGCCGCTGGCACACCCAGTGGTGTGACCCAAAGGGATCACACAGCGCCCCCATGTGCTGGCGCCCTCACAGCGGCTCCTCCCATCCACCAACCTGATGATGGGCAAGTCTGGGGAGGACTCAGGGGTCATTCCTGGAGGGGGATCAGCAGTGCTGGCAAGAGATTTCTAATGAGACTTTTCTTTAGTTCTTCCTGTAACAAACTCTGAATTCTAGCAGTCTAGAAACTCTTGCTTCCTCTTTCTAAGTCCCGTGGGCATAAGTCATATTAGTGCTCATAAATGCAGTGACTGCTTTTCCAGGCTATTTCTGATTTCAGACGTGTTGTTCCATCATTCCCCTCTTTAGATGTGAAATGCGGTAACTGCAAGGGAAGGGGCAAATATCCAAAACGTTCTAGAGAACCGGAGACTGGGCAAGACCTCTCTGTCCCTATCAGGCCTGGGTTCTCTCAGTCCTGGGGGAAGCACGAATCTGGGCACTGATATTCCTGGCTGGAACCTCGGGGAGGCCACTAGAAAGACTGGGTAACCGGGAAGCTGTGAAAGTAGCAATAAGAGAATTACCAACTGCAGGAGCTGTTTCTGCGGATTCTGGGGCACCTTCCGTAGCTAGAAGAGAAAACCAGAGGTGTTCGTGTTAGTGGAGGCGAACATGTACAAAGCGCTCACGGACACAAGCTGATCAGGCACGTGAGTCCATATGTGTGCCAGTGTGGGGGTTCAGAACATTCTGGCAAATGCAGCACCATCACAGGCAGATCAGCATTTCTAGACTAAGCCCATACCAGGCAGCATCTCTGAACTGCCTTTCCCTCATCTAGGTGAGACGCTAGCTTATTGGCACTTGCCAGAAGCATCTAGCTGAACTTTTCCAGGGACAAGCCACCAACAGCCGCTCTGGAGGTCCGAGACAGCAAAACTGGGCAGGTACCTGCCATTTTGGTATTTTGGTGCCATTTTAATTCAGAGTTTTCATTGTGAGATACAAAGACACTTGTTTAAAACACCACACGTTCACACTTTAGATTAAGAAAACTCCCGAACAATAGAGTGGCGTAGAAATATCCCCACCTATCTCCATCTCCCTCCCATGGAAGCTGAACCCCGCTGCCCTCTGAGGAAGGGGGGAAGTGGATGATGGGGAGGGGGCACAAGGTTTGTCGCATACACCATGTAGTAGCAAAAGGTAACAAAGCAGGGTTTTCAAACGGTCATTCAGCTTTTGAATGGTTGCATCAAGTTGTCCCTAGTGTCAAGAAAGTCCAGCTTAGGCCATCAACAAATCAGGGAATTGCTCATATGTAGCCCTGGCTGAGAAAGATCCTCACGAGAAATTTATGAGATTTATGCATACAGAAAAATCATTCCAGGAAATTAGAAATATCCTGATAGCAGGCCACAATTTCCTGGTTCCCAGGTATGGTTCGGCTCATGGGACCCCTTCTCTTCTTGGGGCCAGGGGAACAGGCTGTGATATTGGGCACCTTGAGAGTAATGTGACCAATGCCTTCGGTTAGCTGAATCTGAGCGGTTCCTAGGATATGGGTCTTTTGGTGCTAAAATTGGGAAAGTGCCAGGCAAACAACTGCTCCCCCAATGTGGAACCCCACGCCTTGCAGGGTTGGCCTGCCTGGCATATACAGCTCTGCTGCTCAGGGAGGGAATCCTGGTCTCGGGAGAGTCCAGCTGCCTGAGCGGATGGCCCCGGCATCCTTGTGGTGTCCACAGTTATGGACGGACGGGCCGAGGTGGTGGCACTGCCCCAGGCTGGTCTCTTTGCCTGCGTATTGGCGGATCTGCAGGGGCCAAGCGCCAAGTGGGCTTGAGAAACTTCCCTCGATCGAGCGAGGCAGCACCTGCAGTTAGAGAATTCTCCCGGATGTGCAGCTTATGTGCGGGCAGTGTATGTCCACGAGGAAATTATACACACAGCAGGAGCGTCAGGACTGCTGCCCGTATCTGCAATTCAGCACGAACTCTCTGGTGCTGCCCCTCACCGGGAAGCATCTCTATTGGGAATATTTTCCACATGTTGCCTTTGTAGAGGACATAGAGCCTTAAAAACAATCTTCTGCTTTTATCCTCTTTTGGGTGTCATTTCTTAACGTTGTTTCTCTAAAAGTTCAAAACTATTCATCTGCATACTTGGGGTTCAGCCTTCACGTTCTAACTCAGGTCTATCAAAGAATATGAGAAAAGTCTCAGAAAGAAATTGATTTCACTTTCCTCGAATTTAAAACATGTAAATGTTCACTGGAGGATGCTGGAGGCCGGGGGTTGGAAAAGCAGCAGAGGAAGAGAGGGCATCAGTGCTGTGAGAGGGGCGGGAGCCGGCTAAGTGAACCCGCTCCCGAACCGAAGGCACAGGAAGTTGATTCCTAGGTTCTGAGCCCCAGAGACTGGGCTGGTTCGTGGCATCCCCTTTGAGGAGAGACCACAGGAGCAGTCTGTGCTCAGGGCCTTCATACAGGCCTTCCAATAAAGCTAGGAGGGTGGCTGTGGGGTTGGCTGTCCTTAGAAAGGTCCCTACACAAGGAGAATCCACCAGGTTGCCAGCTTGCCTCTAGTGAGGGCAACTTTTATTCCATAAGCTGCAGGGCCACAAACACAGTGCTCACTACATTTCAGTCAGCCACAGATGGTGGGACCCCGGGCTAGGAAACAGTTACAAAACATAAGCATGCAAGAAGTACCTATTGGATGGGAAACACGTGGCTGTTTTGTAGGAGCTGAAGAAACTGTACACATAAAAAAGGAAAATAGTCATCGTAAGTACATTCCAAACAAACAGTGGCATTTCACTGTGTTCATCCCAATACCACCAAAATCACATGCATGAGTTTACCTTTAAGCAACCCATTCAATCTCTAATCAAGTAGTTACTATTTAAGATGTGATGGTGGCTCATTAATATGGACACATTATTCTGATTAAGAATAAGAAAATGAAAGAATAAAACTGATGTTGGGACTGTGAAGATTCAGCCCCATAAGCTCAGGACACCTCCTCAGAACCACAGAGTTCAGCGGCAGCATCTGGGGACCCAGATAGAGCTGCAGGTAGAGGGGGAGCTCCCAGCACAGGGCCACCTGCCTCCAGGCCCCCTTGCCTTCCCTGGTCGGCCATGGCCTCTGGTGCATGTGCCACCACTTTGGGTCAAGAAATGTTGTCTCAGAGTCCTGCTGAAATGCAGGTCTCCAATGTGGAAGGGATGACACATCAACCCGCCGATACCCAGAACAGCTTTTCCTCTGGGGGCAGGCAGGGTTCTGTGGGAATGGGGTGCAGCTCTGGGTCTTCACCTCCTGGGAGGGTGCAAAGGTCTGGAGCTTAGAGCAGTAATGAGGGAAGTTAAGGGAGGGCCAGTGGGGGGACTCCTGCCTTAGATGGCTCGTCACTAATCAGCAAACAGAATGGATGTGAACTCACAGATACCTGGAGGTCCAGCAGCTGCAGAATCTGCTGAGATAAAGGATACAGGAGGGTGGTTTAATCACAGAAACCAGGACAGTAGAGTGGTCTAAACATCATTGCCTCAGTCCACTCAACAAGCCTGTGTGAGCAATTGTCCTTAAGCACCTAGGGCGGCACCCTCTGGGCTGTAAAGCTGGGTGTGGATTGTATCATCTGGCTAAAAGCTTGGGTGGTGATGCTGACAGAATTTGCCTTAGTAAGTAAAGTACCACCACCAGCAACAAAATAGTTGACATTTTTGTGCATTTATAGGGTGTTACCTGCTTGACTAAGTGTCCCATGTGGAATGTCTCATTTAATCCTGTAAACAACTTTTTAAGCATTATTATTTTCTTTATTTTGGAACTGATTAACTTTTGTAGACACTCAAATTGAGTGGTGCCCTCCCATATATTAAATAGTTGGCCAATTCTTCAGAGTTAGAACAGAAGTCTACTGTCCCAGACATGGGAAAAGGGTTAAGGCATGGAGGCATTTCCAGACTCCATCTGCAAATTCCAGGCTTGGCCTGGGCAACCCCATGCCTGGCCCACCTGTGCTCACCTGAGCAGATGACGCCAGCATCTTCGTGGTGCCCGCAGTTGTGGTTGAACCAGCCACTGTGAGGACACTGCCCCAGGGAGGACTCCCTCCCTGTGCAGGTGACATCATCCAGGAGGATGCTGCCTGACCCGGGGCTGAAGCTGGCCCCCGGGAGGGCAGACACAGCCAGGCCACAGCCGAGCTGTCTGCAGACCACGTGGGCATCCCGTATGGACCAGCTGTCATCACACACAGTGCCCCAGGTGTCAGCGTGGTAGACTTCCACTCGGCCTTCACACCTGCTTGACCCATTCACCAGCCGCAGGCCCAGACCTTGGTGAACATTGCAAACAATGACCTCCATCAAGACTCATCCAGAAAGGCCACCAGAGGAGCCTGCATTTCCTGGAAATTGTGCACTGACCATCGGTAATGACCAATCTACTTCCCCCTTGGTTTCATTTTGTTTCATTCATTTAATTTCAGTTTTTGCCTTGGGTATTAATTAGTGTGTTTCTTGAGGTTACACTTGGTTAAGACAGGGTTTTGCTCCTTAGGCAGCTGGGCAGTGGTGCGGGCCCACGTTTCCCAGCTGCCCATTCTCCTTCACTGTGTGTGTGAAGCCTTGGTTTCCGGCACTCATGGGGGTTTGAGGATTTTTCGTGAGATGCTATCCTGCATATACTGATAGGGGTGTGTGTGCATAAGATTCTCCGGGTGCCTTTGCACATGTTGATCAAGTGGCACTAACAGTAGCTCCCATCAATGCCCCCTAATCAGGTATGACCACTTCTGTGAAGATGTTTTGGGGAACATATAGGGCAGTCATTCCAGGCTGTCCCCCAAGTTCAAAGGCCATGTGACATAAGGAAGTAGAGACTGGAGCACTCTGAACACAGCCAGGGGGAGCTCGAGGTGGGAACGGGTGGAGATTTGGGATAGCAGGGTGACTCAGCCTTCCTGGGTGCTGGCTTCCAAACCAGTCCCCACAAACCATTCTTGCATCTCACAGCATCTTTCCAATCACTGATGCTCTGGGTAAACCTAGACATTATCAGCCCTTCCTCCAGTGGCAGCCATCTGTAGGGCCAAGCTGAGACTGCGGAGGAACCAGTCTCCGGCAGGCACCCTCGCACAGTGACGCTGGGGTTTTGCTGAACTAAAACTACAAAGGGCAGGCAACTGGGGAGAGAGCAGATTACCTGCTGGTGTGGGCCCCTCTGTCAGCTCAGGAAAAGACGCTAAGGACAGAGAGAAAAGTGATAAAAACGTTAGACACCGTAAGTGTCAGACATATTTAACTCTGCTACCTGTCTGGCTCTCACCTTGTGGATTCTCTGGTTTCTGATTCTAAATCGACTCACTTCCCAAGCCCTGTTCTGCGGGTCCTTTCCTCACCCAAACGGTGTGTGTGCAGGGAAGAGAAGCCAGATGACGCAGCTCAAGAAAGTCACAACATGGTGGTTGATATTGTTTTTTGAAACAGATATACTTTAAAGCCGAGAAAGCATTCTTTGGGGGTCATTGCCGTTCAAACCTCCTTTGAAGGTTTGGGGTTATTTCCTTTTCACAACTCCTCTTTGCACACTGCATTTTACTCTTAGAGATGCTGCCACGGAAAAGCAGCTGACCTAACTTGAAATGTGAGACCTATTGGGCTAATCACAGGGTCAGGGGAAGACTAGCAATTCTTTACGATTCTGTCAGGCAGAAAGCAGGATCTGGAGATAAATCCTGCGTGCTTGGAAGAGCCGGTGACACCGGGTTGTGGGCCCCACGCAGCACACACTGCCCCCCCACCCCCCCGCTCCACACAGACACCCGCTGAGTCCCGTCGTGGCCCTGGGAGACCACTGCTGTTCTCTTCCTCCTCCTCCTCGTCCTGAGGAGGAAACTGAGGCATCAAATAGCTCAGAGATTTGCTCAAGGTCCCACAGCTAATAAAGGATGGAACCAGGATGACAAATCCAGGTCATCTGGCCCCTAAACCACTGCCCCACCTCCCAGGGCGGCTTTGCCAAGGCAAGTGACAGGTAATCAGTTAAGAACGATCAAAATTACCTGAAGTCGAGTAGCTCGCAGCGGCCGACGGCGCCGAGGAAGGCAGGGAGGCTGCGGGAAGCAGGAACCGCAAGTGAGGAAAGGTCCCGCCCCCTCATTCTTCCTGAACCCGAACGTCAGCTTGCTTATTTGTACTGGGGAGAAACTACACCTACTCTGGGCATCTGAAGGGGTTCTGAGTTACCATAGCTGCACCCAGCAGGTGTCCTGGGCCACTGGGCTCATTGCTGTCCTGCTGCCAGACACTGCAATGTCATTGTGTGTTTTGTGGGAAAACTGTGGTCCCAGTGATGGTCACCTTCTGTGGAGCACCTACCTTGCCATTCGGTTGGGTTTTGTAACTTCCTGGGTGTGTGGGCCTTGCCTCCCGGAGTGAATGTCAGTTTGCAAAGGGAAGAACCAGGTTTATCTCAAGGACATACACTGGCAACTTCAGCACTGGGAGGGAGCTGGCGGGCCGGGGTGGAAGCTGCTGGTCTATGGCCTTTTCCATAACCTCTGACCCACCCCCCCAGAACTGCCCAGGGCCCAGGGCCCAAACCTCCTGCTCTTTAGGCTCCTGGCCCTGTATCTGGTGCCATGTGGCAATGTCACCGAGCACTGATCCAGTCCCTTGACTTCTCTCCTTTCCTCTCAGAACCTTCCAGTACCCCCACCCGCTGTCTGCCCTTTCGTCCTCTCTGTCACTGCAGCCAGGTCTAACTGATAAGCCTGTTTGTTTCCTCCTAGCCAAACCCAGAAGGAGGCAGAGATATATGGGGGCTTTTGGCTCCAGCTACTGAATTTATTTGCAGAAAAGTGACTGAGATAAAGTGAGAAAAAATTGTATGCTAAGAACGGACAGAACAATGATAAAAACATTAGACATCATAAGTGTCAAACATATGTAACTCTGCTAATGGTGGAGGAGCCCCTAACCTGGGCTCCAAGCTCTGTGACTTGAGGAGAGATCTCGGTGTCACCTGTAAAACGAGGGGCTGAACCAAAGGGACTGTCCCTGAAGGCGCAACTCATCACTGGTGGGATTTGAGATGATCTGAGATGGTGCACCTTCCATTTGAATATTTACATATTTATTGTACTAAAAGTTAAAACTTTAGATATAGTTCCATTCTGATTCAGGGCATTTTCAGATATGCATGGGTGTGAATTGATTAGATTAGATAGTCACTGTTTAAGCTTGAAACATTTTAGCATTGCTTTATTGCTGTGTTTATTTTTATGTACCTTCTGTGCCAAGCGATCCCTGCTCCCCATCTATGGTGGTGACATAATGTTTCCTGGTAAAGTTACTTCATATAAGTGAAAAAGGAGTCCACATAAAGGGAAGTGTAGTGCTGGCAGCAGAGGGGGATGGCAGGGGCATCTGAGCAGCTGACGCCTGGGGACGGTGACAGGGCGCTGGCCGGGGTTGCCCTACTGCTCTCGGGAGAGCTGGGAATGTCCTTCCACCCACCCGCCAGCCTCAGCCTCAGGCCCACCTGAGCAGACGACGCCGGCATCTTCATGGTGGCCGCAGTTGTGAGAGAACCAGCCATTGTGCACGCACTGCCACAGCCTGGCTTCAGTGCCCACACACTCCACGTCGTCCAGAGCAATGGGGCCCAGGCCTCGGTGGAAATGTGCCCTTCCAGGGGCTGACACCGCCCTGCCACAGGCCAGCTGCCTGCAGACCACCTGGGCATCACGCAGGTCCCAGCTGTCATCACACACTGTCCCCCAGCTACCGTTGAAGTGCAGCTCCACGCGGCCCTCACACCTGTGGCTGCCTCTGCTCAGCCTGACGGCCACACCTGGAAAACAGACACTGTCACCGCCCTGGGCACCACCCCTCTCTGACTGGGGGAGGGATGAGAGGGTTAGAGCTGGGTAAAGCGGCTGCAAAGGCACCTCGGGTCTGAGCCCTCACGTCAATGTGGGTTTTAGGGGGTGATTTTGAAGCTTTTGTCCCAGACAAGATTGTGTACTTGACACAGGCCAAAGGAGGCCCCTGGGAGCCAGTGTGAAGTGCAAAGCACCAAGCCCCTGGCACTCTCAGGGAGGAGCAGCGCTCTCCAGCAGGTGGAAGGGAGCCACGTGTGCATTTTGAATGAAACAAGCTCAAAGACAGCAAGGGCCAAGAGCCCCTGCTCAGTGTATCAGGCATCGTTGTCCCCCACAGAGGTAGGGGATCACCCACTCACTCTACTCAGATCTTTGGGGTCAACTGAGGCGAGTGGGAAACCCTTCAAACCCCTGCCTGCTTTGCTCCTAAGCAGGGCCAGGGCCAACGTGACCACAGGACCTACCAGTACTGTTCTCATCTGGCACAAGGGACTCATAGGAGGCATGAAAACCAGTGTTGGTGATGATGGCATCGCTGTGGAAGACGACCGTCAGGCGATTTGAGGAGGAGGTAAATACCGGGGTTGTGCTGGAACAGAACCTCCCCAGAGAAAAAGTTTCGCTCTGTGGGCCATCAAAGATTTCAACGAAGTCGTACGGACAGCCGTAGAAATCTTCCATCCTATGAAGTAATGGATGCTTCACACGCGGTCCACACGGGCTTTCCCCCAGCATGCACTGCCCACGTGGGGCTGCGGAGGGCTCTGGAAAAGCTATCTGTACCTACATCTTTTCACACAGGTGGGAGGAAATGATGACTGTTGATGTAGGTAGTATGTATCTTCCTGTTCATTAAAACCTTTTATTTTAAAGCTTTCTTTAATGTATTTTCTGAATGTATATTGCAAGCACAGGAACAGAATTTAAGGGGCATTGGCAGGTGTCCGGGGAAAAGTAAATTTTCCTCCTGCCCCTGACTAGTGCTTCTCACTTCCATCCCCTTTCTAGAAGCAGCCACAGTAAATGGTTTCTCTTTGCTTCCTTCCCGTTATGCTCTAAGCACAAATTTTGTCCATGGTTTTCCAGCAGATCATTCCACAACAGTGCACCCTAGGTGTGTGACGACAATATATGGCAGTACCAACATCTGTTTAACTGATCCCCTGCTCATGGGCAGTTAGCTTGTTTCCTACCTGTGCTGCCATAAGAAAGCTGCTGTGGTCACCCTAACTATGCAGGGGACAATCTGCAGACCACGTTTGAAAAACTAGAGAATTGCTGAGTTAAAAAGCCTGTGCATTTAAACTTTGGATCAATATTACTGAGTGGGTCCCAAGGCCTTCCTCACTTTTGAGAATTAAATGTCGAAGCTGGGTTTGTTTGTTTGGTGAGGGGATGGGGAGTGGGCAGTATAACTGGCATCTAAACCTGAGTAGAGAGAATAGTTAAATAGGAAATAGGGACTCACTTCACCACTTCAAATGTAAGTTTGACACGAGCCCTGATATCCACTTGTATGTCCCAGGCACACACCGTGTTTGGAGGGTATTTCTCAGGGTACCAAGGACTGGAGAAGGAGCCCGAATTATTAGTGAGCAAACCGCCACAACGGAAATTTTCACCTGCAAGAGACAGTGAAGAAACCCCATGAGAAGGGGGCACTGACCTTCGCTGGTGTTTCTCAAGGAGTCAAAAGGGGACAGAACGAGGACAGAAGTCAGGGGACCTGTTGCTGGCCTGCTTTGGCTGGTGACTAAACAAGTCAGCTTTGGAGGCTCCTGTGCACTTCCAATGCTGCGCTTCAGCAGATGAGGTCAGGAAGGGTGTCCTGTCGTTCTTACAGGGTTTTTATGAAAAGAAATGATAGTGACATATGGTGGGAAGTGCTTTATGAACCCTTATGCATGTATTTTAAAGAAGAGGACAAAAAGGCCATGAAACCAAAGTGCCCTTTCTCAGCACATTGTGACTTTATGGTTATCCAAGAGCCCTCGTGTATTCTGCACAGATCTTAGCTGAAACCGGAACTAAGAGTACCTAAAGGTCCGCTTTGTGGCTGAAATACTGGATTTTGCATGGAATTTGTTAAAGGCCTCTCTGTGCTGCAGCCTCTCACATGTGAGAGGGAGAAAGAGCATTCGTCTAGATGCTGGAAGTGCTAAAATTGAATACAGGACAAATAGGAAACCACGTGAAGGGTTTAAATAAATGCAGTACCTGCAGGAGGGCTGCCACCAGTGGAGCCTGTGAAAATACACAGGGGAGAAAAACGATACCATGAGCGAGGACTTCTATCCAGAATACTCCTTGCAAACACTCAGAAGCATTGATACTCAAAGCTGCGGTTTTTCTGTGGCCCAGTGGACAGAGATGACTCTGCCTGGCTCTTCAAGAGATCTCCAACACCACAGTCCCTGCAGGCAGCCGGCCCTCTCTCACAGCGGACACCTACTCAGGGAATCCAGTGGCCGAGAGGCTGCAATTCTGGGGAATTTGAACCCTCTCTCCCCCAGCCTCTCTCCCCACCCTCTGCCAGCCCGCAGCCCCACCACTGTTAGCACGCTGGTCTGTGCTGGTCTCTTTTAACAGAGAATTGGCCACAGAGAATTTATTCAACTGTGCCCCAATTACAGGTTTAAAGAGTAGCTGGGATTCACATACATCAGGGATCTGGCAACTGGTTATAACATATGGAGGTGCAATACCTGCTGGTCCTATGTTTGGACCACCATCAACACCTGTACTCAAAGACAGAAGAGAGAATGAGAGGTGGGTTGAGTAAGATAGTCACACAATTTGTAAAAGAAGACAGTGGTTTTTTTGTTTTGTTTTGTTTTTGTTTGTTAAGGCTCACACACATTCTTTTCTGGGCAGTTGGAAGTATAGTAACAAAAGCCATCAATGTTGGTTAAAGATTTTCAGTCTTGTCAATGCTCAATGGATGAGGGCGCCTATGGTGTTTATTTGCTTTTGGTCAGTTTTGGGGCTGAAGGAGTTTTAGTAACAGAACCTTACTGTCTTTCATGCAGAACCTGGAGGAAGTACTTACAGGGCACAGGCCCGTGTGTGATCTTGGAAATGCTCACCAATAAAATGTGTTGCCTTAGCAATAAGCTGAGGATGCTAACAGCCTCTGCATCAGTAGACTGGGAAGGCAGTCACAAGAACGTGGCTGTGCTTGGCTTAGCGTGGAGCCTGGCTGGTGTTAGAGGCTCTCTGGACACCAGCTACTACTCCTATCCAAAAGAGAGGGGGTGGTCACCACCATCATGGCATGTCTCTCCAGGAACGGGTCACAGATTTTAAGGTGGGACCTTGAACATTTCATGCATACACAATTAAAGAGAAAGAAAACTAACTCTTAAGCACACTGACTCCAAAAGATGGGTTCCTTTCTGAGTAATTGCCGACTGGCGTTGGGGCTCACCTGAGCAGATGACGCTGGCATCCTCATGGTGCCCACAGTTGTGGGAAAACCATCCATTGTGCACGCATTGCCACACCTTTGCTTCATTTCCTGTGCACTGCATGTCATCCAGCATGATGTGGCCAGTGCCTCTGTCAAAGTAGCTCTGAGCCGGGGCTGACCAGGCCTCACCACAGCCGAGTTGTTGGCACACCACCCTGGCGTCTGTCAGGTCCCAGTTGTCATCGCACACTGTGCCCCAGGTGCCATTGTAGAAGACTTCCACCCGGCCCTCACACCTGTGACTGCCATTCATTAGTCTCAGGGACATACCTGCGGGACAGGAAAAGAGAGGCTTCTGCACTATAGTGCTGTCCCCATACTCCAGGACCTTCTGCAGGCAGAGGATGCCCAGCCCCCGGGGCACACTTTCCCACATTAGGCTGTTGGACTTTAGGAGCCCTATGTCCTGATTTGTCTGTAATAGTCCTGGTTTAGGACTGGTTTAGATTAATGCTGGTCAATTATTTTAGAATCCCATTTAAACTCTTGAAAGTATCCTGACAGGAGGATAAATGACAAGGTCACCCCAAGTATAACTAACTGAGAGCTCTGGAATGTTCCCTGTGTCCGCCTATTGAACCAAAGAGGTCTGCTTAAGAGTCCCGGATGGTTTTTGTATTGAATTCAGCTGGGAGCAGACGGGCTGGGAGTTACAGTTTGAGACAGTTTTGTCTCAGAAGAATTCACCCTCCTGCAATTTCCCTTCCTTTGAAGAAGGGTGCTCTCATCTGGGTCCTCCATCTGCAAGCAGCCAATGCAAGATAAGAGATTCAGCCATCTGTGCCTTCAGACAGGATGTTTTGGGAGGGGAAATGATAGTGAGTGGCAGGGCGAGGTGAGGGGTGGGTCGGGGGCAGTTAGGGTCAGACTGCGTGTCACTCGGGATGTCATTCATGAAGCTAGGCTCTGCCAGTCAGGTTTGGAAAGCATCTCCTGTCCTAAAGGGAAAGGACCTTTCCCTCCAGGACACGCATTAGGAAACCTACCCCTCTCCGTTTCATCTCGCTGAATGGCATTGTACAGAGCGTGAAAGCCTGTGTTGGTGATCATGGCGTCACTTCTGAACACTGCGGTCATGATGTTTGTAGAGGACAAGAATGTGAGCTCTGCTCCAGCACAAAATCTGCCCAGGGAGAGTGAGGCAGCTTGCTGTCCATCAAATACTTCAATGAAGTCATGTGGGCACCCATAGATGTCTTCTAATCTGAGGAGGTAAAAACTGGGTTGATCTTCCTGAAGAAATTTGCAGAAATGTTTAAATAAAACCATGATTTGCACTGCATCCAGCCAGACACTGTAATCACTCCTGCCACCTCCTGTCAGCCACACATCCCTTGTGGGACTTGATCCCTTCAATAGTGCTTGAACCTGCCTCCTGCCCTTCTGGGTTGGGACTGGCCCTGGTCAGTCGGACTTTCATCACGTTTTCCCTGGTCCATTTCAGCATTCCCCCAGCTGGTGTCTTGGTTTTCAGTGCCTCCTGCCATTTTCCTCTCTACCTCGAACGTCTCCTGAATGTCCCCTAAGTCTGTTCAAATTCTGCCACTCTCTGGGAAGGGCAGGCATTATTAGGGTCTCACTGAGTCAGGCTCTCAACAAGACCCGGAGCATGGAGAAATGGGGACAACTGTAAAAGCTCTGAGGGCCTCCTGGGGAGGACTCTTCCTCCCCTGCACCAACTACCTGCTTCCAAGTGAGTGTTTTCGTGCTGTTTCATCTAACCTGGATGACCCGAGAAGCGGTCCCAGACCATCTACCTAATGCTGTCCTTGTCCCCTTCACTATCCTCCTAGCATATATATATATGTATTTTTTCTTCGTAGCACTTATCAACTTATTGCTAATGGAAATTGTCCATTGAGTAACTATCATTCCATTTGAGTACTATCTGTCTTCCCTTTAAAGGTAAATGCCGTGAGGGTAGAGATCTTGTCTGTCTTGTTTGGCATTATAAACCCCTTTCTAAGCCACGGCCTACATAGAAAGCAGGTCAATAAATATAAATTAAAGAACACCAGCATTCATCTCACACAATAAAAATGTGAGATATGCGCATCTGCGATTTAAGCAGTACATAGCCCTTGATGCATGCATTGTAAGTGTTCACTGCATAATGTATACTCAATGGACACAATTACATGTGTACACAAGCAACTGAATTTGAAAACCTTTTTATTGCAGAACACATCTGTTCCAATGAAGTAAAAGTCAAGTGCCTCAAACTAACTCAATTTCAAATTAAGAAAAAGCGATAACATTTGTGTGTGAGGTTAACAGTAGAGTGGCAGTAACAGGTCACACTGTCATCGGGGCAATCGTTTCATTAGAAAACAGGACACATTCACTCAGCAGGAGTAATACCATATAGTTAAAATATGGGTATGAGTTTTACAAATTGAATGTGAAACAAATCTCTGAGGAGGCTGCAATAGAAAAACAAATGAAGCAAACATCAGCGCCTTCAGGGTTCTCAGTCTCAGCACTACTGACATTCGGGGCTGGAGAATTCTTTGTTGCGGGGTGGCTGTTCTGTGAACTGTAGGACATTTCACAGCATCCCTGGCCTCTACCCACTGCATGACAGCGGCATTCCCCCAACTGAGACAACCTGAAATGTCTCCAGACATAACCAAACGTCCTCTGGGGAGGTCTAACCATTTCCAGGTGAGACTCCCTGGAGCAAACAATAACTAACTTTATGTCCTAAAAAACAAAAAGCAAATATCAATAAATCTAGACTTAGAAACATCAAAAACCTGGAAATCAGCAACTAAGTTCTGACTCGAGGCAACACATTAAATAGCTCCTTGATTTGTGTACTCTGAGATTATAGTAGGAAATTTATGTTGAAGTACAAACCTTGAAATTACAGATGTTTGGAATAACCATTTTCTGCAAGTGATAGAATGATACTCTTTACCCAAAACATTTGAACTCTGAATTTCATAGATTTGAAATATATGGAACCAAATCTTTTCCCATTGCTTTCCACAAATAAATATGTGTAGAATGAATGAATAATAAATACGTTTTGCTCATGATGTTCCCTGATATCAGTTTATGTCCTACCCCCCTGGACACTCAGGAATTTTAGCCATAAGGTAAAACTAACCGAGTGTGTCCCTTACTCCACTGCCTAACTAGTGTGCGTGCAAACGCAGCATTTAGTCATTCAGATCCTTGACTGCTGGGGCCGATGAACACAGATGGGAAGTAGCGGCAGAGGTTTGGGACAGACTGTGACCATGTCAGGGAGACAGAATGACCCAGATGCCACCCAGTACAGAAAGATGAAACCAGGCTTTAACATTATCAGGAAAAGCAATATTTTCATTAAAATGGTTACTCATGTATATGTGTGTGCATGTCAATATGTGTGTGTGTGTGTGTACACATGCATATAAATAAGCATTAAAATCAGATTAATTTCTTGCAGAATGGGTAGTGGTTGGAGAAAGAAGTGGACAGTACAATGCACATAGGAGTAATGAGTGGACTGGGCTATTTGGTCTGTGAAGAAACGTCTTAGTAGGAGCTTGACAGAAATTCCTGAAGGAAGAGGAAACAGATTTGTTTTATGTATCATCCAAAGGGAAGAAGGAAGACCAGAAAATGGTAGTGAAGAAGGACAGATTTGGGTTCAGCCGGAGGAAGAAGCTGCGTCCCAAGTGGAGCTGGCTGAGGGAGGAGGCGTGAGGTCTCCCATGGGGGTCACCCCAGCCGGGGCTCCCCCCACGGCCTGGTGTCAGAGACGCGCACCGCTTATCCTACAGCCGCACAGGAAGTTGAGCTCAGTGACTGTAAGACTTTCCTAAGCTCAGAGGACCCAGCCAACCTTCACCTAAAACATGAAGGGATTTGTCACGTGGTGCTGTAGGCTGAATGTCTGTGTCCCCTCAGAATTCCTATGTTGAAATTAACCCTCCAAAGAATGGTGTGAAGAGGTCGGGCCTTTGCGCTCTGCCCCCTGGTGGGATTAGTGCCTTTACAAGAAAGCCTGCGAAACCACCCTCCCCTTCTGCCACGTGAGTTACAGTGAAAAGATGGCCAGCGGTGAGCAGGTCCTTGCCAGACCCTGAACCTGCCAGTGTACTGGTCTTGGGCTTGCTAACCTCCAGAACTGTGAAAAATACATTTCTGATGTTTATTAAGCTACCCAGTTTGTGATAATTTTGTTAGAGCCGTTTGCTGACTAGGGAACACAGGCCACTCTGAGGAAAGTATGTATTCAGGTCTAAGTTGGCCTTTGAAGTAGAAAAAGGCAAAGCTGCTTACTTTAGGCTTGGGATTGACAGCTGTATGTGGAACTTCTCGGCCACGTGCATCACCCAGACGCACTCCACGTCAGTGGGGTAGTTTGTTGGGTACCAAGGACTGGAGAAGGAGCCCGAGAGACCCGAAATCACTCCCCCACAGGAGTTGCTGCCTCCTGCAAAAGCAGACAAGAGACTCGTGGTTGGCTTCCTCAGGCATGCACCTTGCATTTTCCCAGGTGAATTCAACAGTGAATCACAAAATGAGAAGGGGTCACACAGATATGGACATAGCTATAGCTCGGTTGGCGTGTAACTGTACGCCTGAGGGGGAGTGACACGGGAGGACAGTGTGTGACCGGTAGCACCTTAAGATTGTGGATGAGAGTGGAAATGGGGTTGGACACAGCAGGTGTGGGGAGTCCCACCGATACTTCATGAATGCTCGCCCCAGATTCCTGTCATGCCAACCAGCTCAACTCAGATGTAGATGGTCCATCCCTCTGTGAGGACGCCATCCCACCAGTTCCTTCCCCTCGGCAGCCAGGACAGACAGCCGCCTGTCTGCCTTTCTGAATCATTGAAGTGACTCCATCCTTTACAGGTTATACTTTCAATGAAAAAGAGTTACTGTGGGGCCCAGGCCTTGGAAGAATGGCGACTGCAAAAATCAAAACCAAAGAAAATCAGGGGAGAGCTTGGCATCATGAAATCATCTTAGACCTAAGCCAGGGAGTAAACCTGGTACTACTCCTGAGTCTTAATACGTGGCGTGGGTATGTCCATTCCTCTTTTCTCCCTGATCTGGGCTGCAGCCTCTCCCCTTGTTTCCGTGGTTCGCCAGGAAATCACAGATACCTCACAGTGACCGGCTTGTTTCTTCTGCGCCAGGGTCCACCAACCCGAGGGCTCTCCTGAGACTGACGCTGATGTCACAAGGCATCGCCCACAGCAGCATCACTGGGCACGTGAGCGCACAACTCCAGGAAGTGCCAAAATGCAGAGGAACTAGTTCCGAGAAGCTGAGAGCCGTGGCGGGGAGAGGTGTGCAGGCACGCGTTCCACAGACCAAGGCGGGCCTCGACGGGGAGCTCGAGCACAAGGTAAGGCCTGCTCCTCCTTTCATGTGTCCTGTTGGTTTTGATTTCTGGGTAGCATGTATTTCTAGTTTCTAGATGTGTCCTTAAGCCCCACTGTATGGCAGGGCGAGGGCAGTGTAGGTTTGGAAAGTCTGTTCACTGGACAGCAGGTGCTTGGTGGGAGCTTCACACTAAGGGTGGTGGATCTGGAGCACATGGGTCAGGTGTGTTGGGGAATTCCTTCATCTCCGTTTCCCTCTGCTCTGGGCACCCCGGCTGCAAGCTGAAGAGCAGCGAAGGTGGTGGGCACCCCATCCCCTGCCTGTCCTTCTCGGCCCTTGGCCAGGAAGAGTGTTGGATATTAGCAGAGTGGGTTTTTTCCTAACTTAAGTGACTCAGAAACATTTCTTTTTGCTAAAATGTTTGAGATACAGTATTTCTATCAGATAATTAAATGGCAAAGACCTGTCTTTTGTGTGAGTACAGGCAAGTATATAATCCTCTATCAAGAAATGGTTTACCTGCAGTTGGATCTATTTAGACATAAATGGTTTTATTTCCCCCCATAAGTTCTTTTATTCCGTGACTCATTCTCTTCCAGTCAGCTATGCATCCCTGCCTCAGAAAAAGACACTATAGCAGAGAGAAAAAAGAGACAAGTCTTCTGGGGCTTGAAACCCTAGGCTGCAAGAAGCCTTGGACACAGAGCTATCCGTGAGCTGACAGCCATCCCCGTCACTCCTGGTCCCAGGCTAGGAAGAGGAGGAAAGGTCAGTGGGGACCAGCGGGAGCTTGGCCACTCACCAGCCCCTGAGAAAGGGTTCTGCCAGACCCGACTCCCTTCCAGGGCTGCTGCATAATTTGCGGGCCCCAGTGAAAAATGAAAATGTGGGGCCTCCAACAGAGGGGGGGAAATTAATCTCCCCTACCCACAGGTCTACCTCTGCGACTTATAATGATGGTGACCTCTACCTGGGACACCCTTGGGACCTGGATTGGAGTGGTCAGAGGGCCCCACTCAGAATCCCTCCAAATGCACCATGGTGGTCCCAGCCCAGGGTAGGGACAGCTGCTACCCACCTTGCCCAGCCCTAAAACACTACAAGATACATCTTTGACCCCAAATTGCCTCACACCCAGTCCCTGGATAGGGATGACGAGGAGGCTGGGTGGATCCTATGCCCCTAGTGGGTGGGAAACTGGCAGCTGAGAACCTGTCCTGGAGAGCAGGTCCCTGGAGGAGCAGGACCCCAGGAGCTCTGATGTAGCTGGAGTCTTGAGTTTGGGAGGTCACTGCCACACATCAACTTTGAGCAGGTTACCAAAAGAAGGTGTACTTTCCCTTTATTCAGGCTGTGTGTTGACTAAGCCGGGAGGCCCACAGAGGAGTCCCATGTGGTTTAGCTTCTCCCCCGCAGCTGCTCCTGGCCCACAGGGAGAGTCTGGCTTCAATGCATCATGTTTTCCTGTATGTTTTCCTTTTCCAGCCCACGTCCCTGAGAAGTGATTCTTCCCATCTTCTCTCTTCTCCAGGCGTACCCTCTTCTCAGCCACAGTGATGGACTCGCCCTCCCCTCTTTCCCTCCTGCCCTTCCTTACTCTGCCATCCAGAGAGGAGAGTTTTGGATGTCACTGCATTTGGGAAATGTGGCTTTTCACTCATTGTCCAAGCCACTGGTCACCCCCTGAGTTGGAACCATATGAGAAACTTTAAATATTACTGTTGACTGGGCATGACCCTAGAGATTCTGATGTGACTGATCTGGGGTGCAGCATTGGCATCAGGAATTTGAAAAGCTCCCTGGGTGATTCTAGTGTCTAGGTGACTTTCCACCAGTGTCTAGGTCAAGACAGAGGTTAGATCTCTTAATTGCTTTGCAAAGACACTGGAAATTCACAGCTTGGGACCTACCTGGGGGTGCAGGAGTCACATCTGGTGCCCAGTCCCCAGCATCTGCAGGCATTAGAAAAGAGGTAAATTTAGTCAATCTAAGTTACATTTTATGAAGACAAGTGGTGGTTTCCTAGTGTGGGGCAGGTCTCGAGCAGGTAAACTTCATGTTACACAAGCAAGAATAAGGACGTGTTTAGACTCTGGAAAAGCAGCGCCAGACCTGGGAGAGTCAGAAGAACAGACCCTGACAACTGTGTGGCCCTGAGGTGTGCGTCTTCAGAATGGAGTCAGGCTCTCAGCATTCTGTCAACCTGGCTGGAGGGACATTCATCTGTCCAGCCACTGTCCTTAGCTTCCCTGGTCCTGCTCTGTGCACACCCTCCTTCCATCAGCTGCTGGCTGAAAGATCAGAAAGAAACTGCCATGGGAGGAGAGACTACCTGAGCAGATGACTCCAGCGTCCTCATGGTGGCCACAATTGTGGTCGGACCAGCCAGAGCTGGGGCACTGGCCAAGGTGGTTCTCACTTCCCAGACACTGAATATTGTCCAGGAGGATGTCTCCAGAGCCCGCTCCAAAGTGGGCCTTTCCGGGGGCAGCAATGGCCTGCCCGCACCCCAGCTGTCGGCAGACGACCTCGGCTTCATTCAGGTCCCACAGGTCATCACATATGGTGCCCCAGGTCCCCTGGTGGAAGGCCTCCACGCGTCCCGAGCACCGTCCAGAACTGCCCACCAGCCGCAGCTCCAGTCCATCTTCTAAACGAAGAAAGATTTCATTTTTGAGTTTGAGAAGTTTAAAGTAGGAAGGATTTCTAGCTCCCACATTTGTGGCTAAGGCCAACAGATTTAAGAGCAAAGACTTAAGGCTGTCTTGGTTCTGAAATAGGTTGGCCTTAAGGGCTCGAGTGAGACAGAGGCAGGTCTGAATCCCAGCTCTACTGCTCCCGAGTTGTGTGACCTTTGGCAAGTTATTTTCGTCTCTCTGGGCCTCAGTTCCTCGTCTGTAAAATGGGGACTTCAGCAGCATGTATCTTAGAGGATCAGTAATTTAATGAGGGCATGACTACGTAGTACGGTCCTCAGCCCCCAGCACCCTTTGGTTCTCTGTGGTTCTTTGCATCACAATGCTAGATTCCTGGGAAAATGGGTTCCTGGATGCTTTTTGGGGCATGTGGTAGATAAGTGTCTGGATAAATATAGATTTAATCCTCTGAAGGCACCTGGGCCACGAGAGTGTCTATGAATTCATAAAGCCCAGTGGGAATGGCTATTTCTGTGTCTGTGGCCAGCTGGCATGAGTTGCTGTCTTCTAGAGGCACCCGAGGGACAGCCTTCCCTTACTGCATCCACAGGTTCTGCCACACTGGCCTTTCTGTTTCTCCAATATCTCCAATTCTTTCCTCTCCAAGAGCCTTTGCATTTGCTATTCTTGCTGCCCGGAATGTCCCCTTTTTGTTATTCATCACATGTCACCTCCTCAGCAAGGCTGTCCATTCCCCTTCAGTCCAGAGGAGCACCTCCTCCACTCCTGGCGTCTCTTCTGCCTGCCCGGCTCTGTATTCCCAGCCCTAATCACTACCCTCACACCGTCTTTTCCTTTACTTCTTTCCATTTCTCGTATCTTGACCCTCTCCCACTCACCCACATCCACCTTACTGTAAACTCCATGGGGAAAGGGTACTGCTGTTTGCTGTGTCCCCAGCACTTCCAGCTGGGCCTGCCACAGAGTAGGACCCCCGTATATATTACTGGATGAGTGAATGATGATCTTGAGTCAATGAATGGTCTGGATTTCAAATGCTGGACCTTACTTAGCCTCCCCAGGGCAAAATCTCAAACATGCCTTTGAGGGTCAAACAGATAAAGCATTACTTTACTCAGAAACAAGCCCCGGCCTCAGACTGCAGCCAGGGACTTACTACCTGGCTTCGGTGGACCTGAACAAGGTCCTCAGGCACCTGCAGGGGTCCTGAACATCAGAAGTCCCACACTTGGCAGGTAAAGCACTTGCTGGGTGCAAACCGGACCTGGCTCTGGAACGATCACCTATAGGGCCATGGCTGAAGGAGTCCCAAGCCTCTCATCTGGGTAAGGCTAGGGTCCAATGCATGCAAGGTATGAAGTGGGTCAGGTGGTGGAGGAAGGTGGATTCTTCAGGAAAGTTTGTTTTTGGATTTCAGCACTCTGGACAGTTTCTGAGTGGAGGGTAGTGACAGAAGCAGCTGTGGAGAAGAGCGGCCTGCCCATTTCACAGAGGCTGCACATCATTGTCTTATTTCAACTGCCCATGTGGCACTCTTAGTGGGAAAACCTAGCAGCTATTCAGCTTGGTGTGCAATCAATCCCAGGTGTCTGCTAATAGGGAAGTCCCTCAAGTTAGAAAACTGTTCTGTCTTTTAAAGACCAAAAGACCTGCTTCAAACTTCCCACCTGATTGTATTTCGCCCTGTGGAATCGCATTGAACAGAGCATAAAAGCCAGTATTGGTGATCACAGAATCGCTTCGGAACACTACTGTCAGGATGTCTGAGGAGGAGAAAAACATCACAGCTACTGAGGCACAGAGCTTCCCCATGGAGAGCGAGGCAATCCTGGGGCCATCAAAGATTTCAACGGAGTCATAGGGACATCCAAGGACATCTTCCATTCTGGGGGAGTCAAAGTGGAGGGTTAGACACAGGTTAGAACTCATTAGACCTTAAAGCTTAAAAGTATGACAATCATAGGATTAGATATTTGGATTATAATTTGAATTGCATAGTAACATGTAAAAATCGATTAACTTTTTCAGATACCTTGCGACAGAACTCTAATATTCTTTGAGGAATGCATGTGGCACGTGGTTACAACTTAGTAACAAATTTTAAAATAAAAAACGGTTTTGGTTGATCAAAACGTACATTGGAACATCCGGAAATGCTAATGGACACTGCAAATAACATTCTCCACAGTCAAGTCGTCTGATGATTAGCATGCAATCAACATCACAGCCAGATTTTCCTACTGCTATAGTTCACATTTTTCATACCCAAATTCTTGGGGAGAAAAACCTTGATTTTAAAATAAAAATAATGTCAGCAGGTGGAAGAGTATTTGCACCTTGGCAATTATTCACAAGGTTTGTGTAGGAAGGCTGATGTTAAAGGAATAGATAAATGGTAACATGGTAGACTTCAGAGGTGTGGGTTGTCTCTGTCCTTAAGGCTTTCGTTAACAAAGAACATGTTTCTAGGATGTTTTTTGGCATAGGGTATGTCTGACTCCATGGACTGAGCAACAACTCAGTGCATGCTAAAGGTGGATTTTCATAGCATTTCACAGTATTGCTGTGTTAATAGCAAGATGTACGTCACGTATGACATGAAGGGCTTTGTGCAGACTCTGCTAACAGAATCAGCCACATTGGTGGAGAGTTGGGGGTTTGACGTCAGACAGCCGTAGGTGCTTAATCTTGGGCAAATTAGTTAACTGTTCAGAGCCTCAGTTTCTTCATCTCTAATTTAGCTGTCAAAGACATCTATCTTAGGGCTGTAGTGATGCTAGACTTTGACAAAGCACACAAAATGCATAGTACAGAACCTGGGCACACAGCCAAAACTAAAACAGTGCCCGCTACTATTTTATGTCATGGAGATAAAAAATGGCAGTGATTTAGGGAAATTTATTGTCTTTGTGTCAGAGAAGAGGCAATGTTTCTATTGTCTTTTTTCACATTATGGCAACATTTAGAAGATGCAGGCCCCAAGGCTGGAGTACAGGGCTGATGTGTGTGTGTGAAAAGTCTCTTACTGTTTGTTCACAATTTAGGTAACAGAAAAAGGAAGTCTAAGAGGATAAATATTGGTACCCAGTGTATAATGGGGCAAAGGTGGTAAGGAGGATTTCTGTGGTACTTTTAGAAAAAAAATCAAAAGAAAAACTGTCATAATAAGGTTAAATCAAATGTGTTAATAAACCACTTATTGAATTTTTGGAGCTAGAAGTAGCTCAGGGGATAGTGCCACAAAATGAACCCAAACTTCAAATTGGAAAGAATTTTATATTCTGACTTCATCCTTAAATGTTTCTCACTAAAAGAAATATCTTTATTATGATTTCACAGACCAACATCTTTATCTAGATAGAATCTTCCCTTAAGAAGTTGTTTTCTTACTTCAAACTTGGAATCATGAGTTCTATGCGGAAGGTTTTGTCCACGTGGATCTCCCAAACACACTGGATGTCTGTTGGATAGTTTTCCGGATACTGTGGACTGGAAAATGAGCCTGAGAGACCAGAAATGACCCCTCCACAAGCGTTATGTTCTCCTGCAACAACAGGAAAAAGGGCATCAGGCATGAATTCGCCTGTGTGACCCAGAAATGACCAGCTCACCCCCGTGGCCTGGTGGAGCCAGGCAGCAGCCCCTTGGTGGGCACACAAGAGGCGGGCTGAATAGCTCTTCAGCCAAAACATCTCCTGCACAGGAGAGTCCATTCAATGCAATTTCTGAGTCGAAAGTATTGCAGTGTGAGTTCCCTGCCTTTTCCTCTCTATCATCCGATTAAAAAGATATTTTTAATCTTTATCTGCCCTGTCTGTTACTATCTTCCTCCCTTTTTCTAAAGTGGAAGGATTCTTTCTTGCTAGGAGAGAAGCCGAATAGATCTACAAGATAGAGCGGGAAGAACAGATGAAGAGAGAGAGGCTGTACATGCTTAGGTAAGGAGGGAGTTTGGGCAGGTTTGGGGAAGAAGAGGCTTGAGAACCACTTGGGGTGTGATGAACTGGAGACAAGGGGACATTGTGGACTGGGACCTCCCTTTAAGTACTTTTCCGTCACTTTTTTGGTGTAGATTGTGTTTCCTTTAGCTCAGTGTCTAGTGAGACAGGAACTTACAGGTTTTGGGATTTATGAGAATTAAACAAGTGACATCTAATTCTTTCACATTAGTTGTCATATTAATATAGATACACATTTACACACACACACATGTATATTTAAAGCAGATTGCCACACAAAAGATGCAGAAAGCTTAGAATCATCTAATTATTTTAGAGGAAATTTGAAAACATAACACACTTTACTGCCCTTGTCCTTAATTTATAAAGTTGCTCAATTTTCCTCTTCCTGTTCTTCCCAACCATCTTACAACCCTCCCAGAATCCCCAGACCTCCAGCTGAGGCCCTGACTGCCCTGGCTTTCTCACAGAAGGGGCCAGGACAGGACTGGCACAGGCAGCGGAGAAGCAGTCCCTCACACACACTGTGCCAGCCCGTGTGTCGTGCCCTGGTCATACCGCCTAGCACCGACTATGATGGTTCTCCTGGCATGCAGTGACCATTTCTATTTAAATTATGTGACTACCTGTTAAGAGATCCTGAGAGGCCGTGGAAGGACCTAGAAGGGGAAAAAAGACAACAATGACATCCAGGAGAAAAATACTTAGTCTTGTCCAAGTTAGTGAAATGTAAAGGGTTTCCTTAGAAATGTCAAAGTACTTAGTGCAAACTGAGAGAAGTCTGAAGGTGTTGAGTGAATATTCTCTACGGTCCTTTGGCAGATTAAAGAAGGCTGCAAGTTCCTGGGCATGCCTCCTGGTGGGAAGGGGTCCCGGGCCCCTCCCCTGAACCTGGGTGGGCTCTGCGACTGCTTTGACCAACAGAATATGGTGGAAGTGACCCTACGCCTGGAGGCTGGCAGCTTCCCTTCCTGCCTCTGAGGACACTGGCTTGCTTGCGGCCCCCTGAGCATCTTATCAGAAGTGTGACTCCCCTGCTGAAGAGACCAGGTGATGAGACCCCAAGACCACCTGGAAAGGGAGAGGGCCCCGGCTGAGCCCACCCTTCCAGCTGCCCCCACCGAGGCACCAGGCAGGTGCATCAGCTGTTTTGTATTCTCCAGACCCGCCCCTGGCTGAACACCACTGAGTGAGCCTGCTCAGCGCTCTGTGCAGAAGAATCTCCCAGCTGGGCACTGTCCAAATTCCCGACCCACAAAACCATGCACGTTAACTCCGTGTTGTTGTTTTAAACCACTATGTGGTGTGGTGGCGCTAGATAACCAGACGGCTTTCACGCAGCACGGTCCTCCTCATTTCCCCATCACCCAGGTAATTTTCAGTTTAGCTGAGCTACATAAAATGAAAAAACTACAGACTGCCCTTGACCCCAACCATGGCCCTCTTTTTATTTTTATTTATTTTTCTGCCCTGCCAGCATCTTGACTTTTTTGATAGCCCTTCCCCTCTCAGTCATGACCCCAGCACATGAAGCTGGCCTTCCCCAAGGAAGAATTTAAATAGAATATATCAAGTTCTCCAGACAAGTGTTCAAGAGAGATGCTCCTGCCAATGACTTGTGACCTGTGCGCGTTCTCCAAGGCTGTGTGGGGACAGTGAGGTGCATTCCAAGGGAAAGAGATGGGGCCTGCAAATTCCAGTTCTGCCACTTTCTAATTCAGTTCTCTTAGGTAGGCCTCTTGATCTCCCTAATCCTTAGCTGTTAGGATTAAATACATTAATTTATGCAGAATCTCTAGCATCATGCCTGCTATTTTGCAGATGATCAGAAATGTCTGTTACAATGAAACAAAATGCCTTTTACTTTACTCCAATGTCATTTCAGAATTTATATCATATATGTTGGTCTGATTTTTCTAATCTCTGCTTTTTATTACAGATGAATAGCATTCAATCACTAAATTGTAGATCTTTGAAAACAGGCAAAAGCCATAATAGCCCCAAAAACATATACTTTGGGGTCAGACTGATCAGTGTCAAAACTTGGTGCCATTATTAACTTGCTGAGTGAACTCAGGAATGTTACTTTACCTTTCTGTGTCTCAAATCTCTCTTCTGTAAAAGACAAAATTCCTTTTTGCAGAGTCATCCTGAGGATTAGCAATAATCTGAGCAAAACATCTCCCCATCTTTGTGCTAGCTTTGCCTGGTCTTTGTGTAGCTGGGGCCAATGAATGGGGGTGGTAAGGTGAGACTGGTGTCCAAGAGCACCAATAGCATGGGCTCAAACCCACTGCCTAGCTCTGGGAACATTGCTCACTTTCTATGGCTCGGTTTGTCTGGGAAAGTGCTTGGCTCAAGGAATTATTGTGGGGATTCAATGGGTTATAGATGTGAAGGGCTCAGAACAGTGGTCCTTAGCATTCACAAGCACTTGATTAGCATCATCATTATTATTAGGAAGTTGCCTGGACTAGAAAAAAAATATGGACATACCTGGAGGTGTGGGAGGAGGCAGTTCTTCTGCATCTAAATGCATAAGGAAAGGCAATAGGTCACTCTCTTTCATGAATCCAAAGCATGCAGGAGGTACAGTGACAAGGGTGCAGGTTGGGCACAGAGGGCAGCGAACCTTGGCCTTTCTGAGTACCAGAACTGTGCCCTGGGCAACTCCAGGGTCCTTGGCCTCAGGGGGCAGGGACAGGAGCTGGGTCAACTTGGTTCCACGGCAGCTAGGGCTGGATTACCTTTGGCCTCTCTTTGCTGAATCACCTGGACTATCTGTTAAAATGCAGATTCCAGGGCCCCTCCCAAATCCTGCACTGGTGCTTTCTGGGGGTGGGCCCTGGATTTGGCACTGCCATGCTGGAAGTGGTGCTGGTGCACACTAACATTCATGGCCTCCCAGGTGCAATGGGAACTGTCCATGGCAGGGCATGTGTCTGAGTCCAGGGGTTGGTGCAGAGTACATAGTCAAGGGTTGTTGAATAAAAGAATGAGTGGATGGATAGATGAAAATTCCATTTGGGACACATAGTTTCAAAATGTCTTCAATAATAGCATTAGAGATTACTGCCTGAAAGGGGAGACGCTACCTGAGCAGATGACACCAGCATCCTCGTGGTGGCCGCAGTTGTGCTCTGACCATCCCGCGTGGGCGCACTGGCCCAGGTAGCGCTCTGCCCCGGAGCACTGCAGGTTGTCCAGGAGGATGTCTCCAGAGCCCGGGCCAAAGTGGGCCTTTCCGAGGGCGGACACGGCCCGACCGCAGCCCAGCTGTCGGCACACGACTTCGGCTTCGTCCAGGTCCCACAGGTCATCGCACACAGTGCCCCAGGCCCCCTGGTGGAGGACCTCCACGCGTCCTGAGCACCAGCCTGAGCTGCCCACCAGCCGCAGCTCTGGCCAGTCCCCTGCAGACAGAGATGGGTGTGTGAGTCCCCAGAAGACCTGCCTGGGGTACACCAGCACCAGGGCCAAGAGGCCAGCAGGACCAGGGGGTCAGGGAGGGACAAGCCCTATCTTGAGTCTTGGGGCTTGTTCCTCATGTTTCTCTTACGTTCCTGAGTTGCAGGCTGTGGGTTTCAAGCCAGTTTAACTTCATTTCAACTGTATCGACTTGATTGCCTTTCCTCTCAGCCGCTCATGATAACAACTATAAGCCAAAATGAGAAGGTTCCTGACCTCAGGGAGCCCAGCCACTATTTATCAGTCAAATATAGACAGCAGTATGTTGTGCGAGTCCACATTGTAATAAACGCAGTGACGGAAAGAGCAGGATGCTAGGCCACAAGGAGGCTAGTGGTGGTGGTGGTGGGGGTGGGGGTGCTGGCAGACTCTCCTTAAAGCAGCAAGAAGGAGCTGACCAGGGAGGCACTGGCGAAGGCCTTTGAGCCAGAAGGAAACGCATGTGCAACAGACCCTGAAATGCCATTTCTCTCCTGCACATATCTCTAAAAATTATGGACTTACACATACACACACAGCCATCATCACATGTAAAAAAAGTCAAAAGCAATGATTCCAAATAAGACTTTCGACTAGTGTCTCAATGGTGTGAAATTCTCTGCATTTAGATAGAGGGTGAACTTTGAGCTGGAAGAATAAATTGCTCTAGGAAAAATGAAGAACAGCAGATATTTAAGTCTCATAAAAAAACAGTGGCTTACCTGGGCTATTAATAAGTGATTCTTCAGCATCTGTTTATAGAAAGAATAAGTATGTCAGTATTTTTCAGAAAACCTGACTTTAATGATGGAAGAGAAAGGTTTTAATTCCACCTTTGTAAGTTTTTTCTAATGTATTATGAATTGCTTATTAATAAAAATAAAAATTAAAAATTTATTTAAAAATGAACAATATATTAATTATTCATTATTTTTAGCCATTTATTATTGATCCGATATGGAAAAAATTAGTCCTTTAGATAACACAGTTCTAGGGGAACCAAATTCATCTATAGACGTAAAAGAAAGCTTCTCTCTGGTCACTGGTCTGCTAACGCCTTAGGAGAAAATGGCCAGATGTGAATGGCACGTTTAGGAGATGATTTAACTTACTGGCTTTGCAGCAGGCAAGTTTCACTTTGGGAAGTCTTTGGGGCATTTCAGATTTAGACAGTCATCCCCGAGAACATCAAAGGAGGAAGAACATGTGGCCTGTGAGGCTCTAACTGAGTCAGACATGCCCTACATGGCAAGACGCCACAGCGCCGATGGGCACATGGCCACCCCAGTGAACAGGACAACGCTCTTATATATGCACCCAAAGTAAGAGCCACAGGTACAGGTGCTAAAACACAACTGAGCTGCTTCTCACATGTCAAGTCTATGTAACAAGGGCTGCTTCGAGTCACAGTTACTGGTTCTTTCCAATCACACCAAGTATTATAGCACTGATATCAAAAGGCATCTTATTATCAGAAAGGTGATTTAACAGATTCCAGAGGTGACCAACTTACTTCTAGCTAACTTTTTGCTCATGAGTAAATACAAAGTATTTTTAAAAATTGTGGTTGTCATAATGCAAATTTAGTTCACTAACTTCTTGGCATTGGCATTGGGTGAGGAAGATGGTAGTAAAAATTGCCAAATATGCAGCCCTTTGTCAGGCACGATGCAACTGCTTTAGAGAAGACAGCTCAAAGCCTTCTGGCAATCCTGCAAGAGAGCAACCTGTCTCCTACTTTTACTGATGAAGAAACTGAGGTCCCGAATGTTTAAGTGTCGAGTGTTAGTACCAGTTCTGAGATCCATACCCCAGCGTGTCCAGCTCTGAAGTCTTCTCTAGCTTTCCTGCATGGGACAATCTCTTTGAATGAAAGACCTTTAGATAACACCTTAAAAATTCCCATAATTAAGCACATCCTTTGCACATGTCTGTATTCAGTAAGGCACACATTCCTTTGGTAATTCTTACCACCAAATCAGAAAATCAGGAGGTTTTATTCTGGGAGGCTGGCTCTCCTGTCTGTGTGCCTGACAAACTCTGAATTCTAGCAGGTGCTCTCCTAACACGTGGAACTGGCAATGAATGTCTGCAAGAGGAGACGCTACCTGAGCAGATGACGCCAGCATCCTCGTGGTGGCCGCAGTTGTGCTCCGACCAGTCTGCGTGGGCGCACTGGCCCAGGTAGCGCTCCGCCCCGGAGCACTGCAGGTTGTCCAGGAGGATGTCTCCAGAGCCCGGGCCAAAGTGGGCCTTCCCGAGGGCGGACACGGCCCGACCGCAGCCCAGCTGTCGGCACACGACTTCGGCTTCGTTCAGGTCCCACAGGTCATCGCACACAGTGCCCCAGGCCCCCTGGTGGAGGACCTCCACGCGTCCTGAGCACCGGCCTGAGCTGCCCACCAGCCGCAGCTCTGGCCAGTCCCCTGCAGACAGAGACCTGGTGACCACTGCCCTCTGGGACACTCACATTTCCCCTGAGCTGGCTGAGCTCCCCACCCCCAGACAGCTATTAGGATAAGAACCAGTCAACGGGTAATTGATAGTAATTAAGATTGTCAATGTTTAGCTTAAAAAAATCCACTAACTGAGTACCTATTGTGCCAGAGGTATGTGCCAATCTGTTTTGGCTAAATGTAGAAAAACTTTATAAAGAAATTTCACGGTGATTTGTGATTTTGTGAAAGGCTTTTGCGTTTGTGTTCACGTTCACTTTTATAATAACTCAGGAAGGTAAACAGAAGATTATCAGATGCTAATTTTATCTATAAGGAAATTGAAGGTTGGAGAAGCAAAATGCTTCATCCCAAATCCCACATTTGGTAAGTAGCAGATCTAAATTCAGGTGTCCTAATTCCAAAACTCACTAGTTTTCTCTGTTATTCTATCTCATTGCCTCTGAAATAGCTTTGACATTCTACTCACTTTGAAAAAGTCTATTAGATACAGATTTGAGGTTAACTATGAGCAGGACTGGCCATATAAGAAATAGGTAGACCCCCACTAAAAGGCACTTGGAAGCGGCTGAGGCTTTAATGACTCTGAAAGGCACTGAAAAAATGAACTTTGCTCACCCTGGGGTGCTAAGGCCAAAAGATCCCAAGAGTTTTGAGTGGCCCTAAAAACTGTGCATAGATGGACTACTTGTAATTGATTCGGTTTGTGCCGATGGGTCAGGAACAAGGCAGATACCAAGAGGAAAGGACACCTGGTAAACGAATGGGTGCATTCCAGGGCTTACCTGGTCTTGCTGTTACTGTCCTGGGTGCTGCTGTTGGGATTGCTGTGGGTACAAGACAACACCCTTAGATATAAAGGGAGGCCTTAGGCTAGCCAAGGTGGCAGCATTCTGAGACCAGTGTCTACAGATGCCAAGATCTGCCTGATCATTCTCCCTATCATCTTTATAATAAGTGACCTCCCACATCAAACTCTCTTTACATGGGCATCTCGATGTTGCTCAGTGTGTGGGATCCAACACAGATCATATTCTCTCCCTCTGCCCAGTCACTGCAAGTATAACAACATTTAGATCATGCCGTTCTGTGCCAAAATGCAAACGTTCAGTGTCCTTCTGGGGAAAATGCCACTTTTTCCATGTGCTTCATCCTGTTAACTTTCCTAAATGTGGAGGGTTTGATTAGCTGTGTCTCATTGTCTTTGATAAAAACAAGGAATTAAGAAATCAAATAGGCAACTGTCTACCTACAGTGGCCCACCTGTTGATAGGTGTAACTTGGTTCCATGGTGAATGGGCATCATACTTGTGCAAAATGAGGGGAGACAGAATCACCCAGTTATGGTGGACTGTATGGGGAATTAGGAAATGTATATGAGAGAGATCAGACCATGACAGATGAAACAATGACACTGAACGTGACTCACTGATCAGATTCGGGGTCCGTGAAACTGCTTCTGCAAATACAAGGAAACCAGAGCTGGTCAGTCAGTTACAGTGATTGCCCCGACCCCCTTCATGACACAGAGCATGTCCTCTGGGTTCTACAGCACATTTCCCAAGCCTGCTGGCTGAGCCACCCCGGTGCTTGCTGAAAGCACAGGATTCTGTTCTGAGCCGCATCCTGGCCAAGGGGATGCCAGAACTGCAAATGAGGCTCCGCCTCTTTTCTCCTATGGTAGGTAGTGCAGGACCCATCATCACTGGGAGATGTTGGGACAATTAGTGAACCTCTCAGGCCTCAGTGTCCTCATCCATCAGAGGGGAAGGGCCCAGGTTTGTCCGAGGACTAAAGCAGATAACACATGTAAAGTGCCAAAAATGGTGCCTGGCCTAAAATAGGCATTAAATACACATTAGCTGTTATTTTAAACACTCATTACTACCTATGCTCGAGCGCATGTGCTTCATCAGAAACCCCTGGCGTAGCTTCTGCTTGCCTTCTTGCCGTGTTCCTTTTGTGTCCCCGGGTCATGGTTCTCCTGCCCTGCCCCCCCACCCTCTCCCTATTCCTCACTCACAGCCACGCCAGGTTTAAAAGCAAGTCTCAGGCTGTGCCTCCCACGTTGTCCTTAGTATTTGTAGCCTACACATTGCTCTCTGTCTTCCCTAACGTCTTTTGCTGAGGTGCAGGCACCTGTCACTTCAGTATATTCTATTTGTCCTCTCACTGTATTACACGTGTCCATCTTGAATTCCATCTAGGTTGTACATAAGCCCCACTGAGGCTGGGGCCACACCTCCTTCTTCTGCAGCACCCACCTAGTACTAGACTCCGAGCAACTACAGAAATGGCTTCCTACTGAGCTGACTACGAAATGCTTACAGGACATGAAAAGGCCACGATCAAGCTGCCAATCATTGAGCATTCATGACATGTCCTCACTACGCTAAGGGCTTTACTTGTGTCATTGCAGGTAACCTTCACAAGAAGCCTATGAAGGAAGGTTCTCTTATGCCCATTAAAGAGCAAGAGATTGAGGCACAGAGAGGTCAGCTCTCTTGCTCAAGGTCCCTGAGTCAGAGATGGGGCTCCACCCAGTCCCCAGACCGACTGTCCAGCTCCGGAGCTCCGGCTCTTGACACCTGTCTTACCTTTGGTTGCAGAATAATAATAAGCAACAAAGTTCTTTCCTATGTTGTTGAAGCTTCGGAAGTACACGAGGGTCATTGAGTTGGAGGAGGATGAGTAGGTGAGGTAGGTTCCAGAGCAGGTCTTCCCCAGGGACTTGGCTGAGGCTGGAGGGCCGTCCAGGATTTCAAAATATTCATTGGTGCAGTCGAGGCTGGGGAAGCAAATACCGATGGGCGTCCCTTAGCCTTCTCCTCAACGGGTCCTAGAGGGAGGCTATGAGGCAGACCCTTCATTTCATCAGTGTAAAGAGGCTGGGGACGCTTAAGGCCTGTCAGTCATTCAAACATAGTGTGGATTCCTTTTATCCCACTTGGGCTTTCTGAGAGCCATTACCTTAAGGGGTTGGGGCCTAACTGGCAGAGGGAAGAGGCGGCCAAGCGGGTGCACTTCTGCTAAGGCCTGAGACTGCAGGGTTCCTTGCAGCTGAGGGCCAAGAGCCAGCCAGTGTTTGGTCTGCTGGACCATGGCTCTGGGTTCCGACCAACTTTCACAGACTTTGGCAGCCAGCCTGCCAGGTGGGAAGTGCACTACCAAATCTGCCCGGCCTTGTTGGTGGAAGGCATCTGATTTTGTCCCTGTTGTTCCTCAATGTGAAGTTTTGTTCAGAAGCCATAGTGATAGAATCAGAAAACCATTTTCATGCCTCAAGTCATAGTCTGATTAAGCAAAACTCTGGAGTTAAAAAAAAAATTTAGGTTGTTCCTGGGGTTAATTTCCATAAGCCATTCATGTATGAATGATACCAACCTTGACTATTTATAATGTCAAAACCTAAAATTTCTCAATTTACTAAATCTGGGAGTTCCGTGGAATCTGCATTTTTAATTAGCAGGCAGGAATACATGCATTCTCTCTCCCTTTCAGTCTCTTTCTCTCTCTTACCCACACACCACGCATACATACACAGCTATGCAAAGCACATAAGGTGAATATAATTTTAATTAAAAAATCATGGAAGCACATAAAAATCGATCATCCTTCTATATATTAAGAACAAACATGGAAATAAAAATTCAAAAAATATAATTTACAATCACGCCTTCTTAAAAATGAAAACACCTACAAAAAAACTAACAAAATATGTATAAGATTTGTATGCTAAACATTACAAACAGTGGATACAAAAAATAATACCAAGAGCTAGTTAGTATATGCAGAAGTTGGATTTGCATAAGTTGCTCATGGGAATGTAAAATAGTAGGCACTCTGGGAAACCGTTTGGCATATTTTTAAAAAGCCAGAGGTGTGCTTACCACACCTGGTGTACACTCTTGACCATTGATCTCAGAGAAATAACACCTGCATATGAAAAGTATATTCTATTTGTCCTCTCACTGTATTACACGTGTCCATCTTGAATTCCATCTAGGTTGTACATAAGCCCCACTGAGGCTGGGGCCACACCTCCTTCTTCTGCAGCACCCACCTAGTACTAGACTCCGAGCAACTACAGAAATGGCTTCCTACTGAGCTGACTACGAAATGCTTACAGGACATGAAAAGGCCACGATCAAGCTGCCAATCATTGAGCATTCATGACATGTCCTCACTACGCTAAGGGCTTTACTTGTGTCATTGCAGGTAACCTTCACAAGAAGCCTATGAAGGAAGGTTCTCTTATGCCCATTAAAGAGCAAGAGATTGAGGCACAGAGAGGTCAGCTCTCTTGCTCAAGGTCCCTGAGTCAGAGATGGGGCTCCACCCAGTCCCCAGACCGACTGTCCAGCTCCGGAGCTCCGGCTCTTGACACCTGTCTTACCTTTGGTTGCAGAATAATAATAAGCAACAAAGTTCTTTCCTATGTTGTTGAAGCTTCGGAAGTACACGAGGGTCATTGAGTTGGAGGAGGATGAGTAGGTGAGGTAGGTTCCAGAGCAGGTCTTCCCCAGGGACTTGGCTGAGGCTGGAGGGCCGTCCAGGATTTCAAAATATTCATTGGTGCAGTCGAGGCTGGGGAAGCAAATACCGATGGGCGTCCCTTAGCCTTCTCCTCAACGGGTCCTAGAGGGAGGCTATGAGGCAGACCCTTCATTTCATCAGTGTAAAGAGGCTGGGGACGCTTAAGGCCTGTCAGTCATTCAAACATAGTGTGGATTCCTTTTATCCCACTTGGGCTTTCTGAGAGCCATTACCTTAAGGGGTTGGGGCCTAACTGGCAGAGGGAAGAGGCGGCCAAGCGGGTGCACTTCTGCTAAGGCCTGAGACTGCAGGGTTCCTTGCAGCTGAGGGCCAAGAGCCAGCCAGTGTTTGGTCTGCTGGACCATGGCTCTGGGTTCCGACCAACTTTCACAGACTTTGGCAGCCAGCCTGCCAGGTGGGAAGTGCACTACCAAATCTGCCCGGCCTTGTTGGTGGAAGGCATCTGATTTTGTCCCTGTTGTTCCTCAATGTGAAGTTTTGTTCAGAAGCCATAGTGATAGAATCAGAAAACCATTTTCATGCCTCAAGTCATAGTCTGATTAAGCAAAACTCTGGAGTTAAAAAAAAAATTTAGGTTGTTCCTGGGGTTAATTTCCATAAGCCATTCATGTATGAATGATACCAACCTTGACTATTTATAATGTCAAAACCTAAAATTTCTCAATTTACTAAATCTGGGAGTTCCGTGGAATCTGCATTTTTAATTAGCAGGCAGGAATACATGCATTCTCTCTCCCTTTCAGTCTCTTTCTCTCTCTTACCCACACACCACGCATACATACACAGCTATGCAAAGCACATAAGGTGAATTTAATTTTAATTAAAAAATCATGGAAGCACATAAAAATCGATCATCCTTCTATATATTAAGAACAAACATGGAAATAAAAATTCAAAAAATATAATTTACAATCACGCCTTCTTAAAAATGAAAACACCTACAAAAAAACTAACAAAATATGTATAAGATTTGTATGCTAAACATTACAAACAGTGGATACAAAAAATAATACCAAGAGCTAGTTAGTATATGCAGAAGTTGGATTTGCATAAGTTGCTCATGGGAATGTAAAATAGTAGGCACTCTGGGAAACCGTTTGGCATATTTTTAAAAAGCCAGAGGTGTGCTTACCACACCTGGTGTACACTCTTGACCATTGATCTCAGAGAAATAACACCTGCATATGAATGTTCACAGGAGCTTTGCTTATAGCAACAAAAGACTAGAAACAATGCAAATGCTCTTCAGTGGGAACTGGGTAAACAAACTGGCTTCCACAAGTAGAATACTTCTTAGCAAACAAAAGGAACGAATCACTGATACACACAACAACCTGGATGGATGTCATGGGCATTACGCTGAGTGGAGAAAGTCAATCTCAGGAGGATACATCCTGTTCGATTCCACTGATATGACATTCTCAAAATGACAAAATGACTGAGAGGGAGAACAGATGAGTGGTTGCCAGGGGACAGGGGGGTACGTGATTTGTGAGTATAAAGGGTAAAGGGTGGTTCCTTTGAGGTAATGGAACAGTTCTGTGTCTAGATTATTGTGGTGGTTACGTGAATCTATTTATGGGGTAATATTGCACAGAACTACACACACACACACATGTTAAGTGTGTAAAAAATTATGAAAACTGAATAAGGTCTAAGGGCTAGCTAACAGTATTGTACCAATGTCAACATCCTAGTTTTAGTATTGTGCACATTACATGAGATGCCAGCACTGGGGGAAGCTGGGTGAGGGTACACAAGACTCCATGTGTTATTTTTGGGACTTTCTGTGTGTCTATAATTATTTCAAATAAAAACTTAACAAATATATATATCAAGGACTCTATTGCTTATGAGAATCAACCATGGGAAAAATGTTTGGAATTTTAAACTACAGAATGGACTCAAGTAATGTATTAGGACTTACTTAAGATACGGAAATGCGAGCAGTATGTGATCAGACGCGTTTGCCTTGATTTCCCACACACAGGTTATGTTGTCATGCATCTCGTTCTGCGGGGGGTTCCTGATTGCTCCAGATGAATTAGTAATAACACTGCCGCAGTGAGGTTTTTCTGAAAGTGGAAAAGTATTTGAGAATTTCAGCTTTTTTTGCATTGTTCAGTTCACTGCTTTTGTAATTCACACTTTTTTTCCTTTCATTTTTTTCCCCCCAAAACATTTCATTGGCCGCTACTTTGTGGGTATCTCTTATTAGAGGCATAAACTAGTTTAAAAACTCTTACTGACTTAAGAAATTAGGGCATGAAAGTGTCTGAATTTTGAAGTATCTGTCACTTCTTCTGAGAGCTCTGCCGCTGCCGCGGGCTTGCAGGGCAGAGCGGTGCTCCCCCATCTGCCAGAATCTTTCCCTCTGGTTACTCCCTAGCGGTGGGTTCTGCAGCTTTCATTTATGCCAGGCGACCAGAAGTGATGAGTAAGCTACTTTATTTTCCCAATTAAAGGTGAGCCCATACGGAGCCTCCCTATATATATATGAAGATGTTCTGCCCACCATCAGTTGTAATTCATTAAAATTATACTATTAAAAATCCACTACTAAGTGGAAAAGAGTTGACCTGAGTCATCCACCCCTAACACAGATATGGTCCTATGTCCATCTGTCCATCCACCTGTCCACTTCGTTCTCCATCTGCTTGTCTGTCTATCCATCTGCCCAGTTTTAGGCCAAAATTACAGGTGACACTTGTGGTAACAGCTTTTCTCCATCAGAACTTCTGGCTGTGTAAGAGTCAGACCTCCACTAGGTTGGCCCTGGTCATCCAACTGCAGCTCTTCCTTAGGAGGACCAGCCAGGTTCTGCAGGCATTAGTGTTATGCTAGCTCTTTATTGCCAAGTCCTGCTAAGAAAAGTTCAGAGGAGCTTCTGAAAGCCCCAGATACTCCTCTGCAAGAGCAGAGGTGGGAAAAAGGCACAGGAAACAAAGGACGGAGGAGGACAGAGATCGTTAGGGAAGGACAAAGGGTGGAGAAGAAAATCATGGTGGAAGGCCTCCGAAATGATGCCCTTGGGTAGCACCCTGGAATGCTGCTGTGTCAGTGGCTGCGTGTGGGCCCTTCACATGTGGTGCTCATGTTGGGAGACTAAGAAGGCTGGCATTGTTTCATTATTTGGACTTCCTTCTTGGACCGAACAGAAATGGAATTAGAACCATAAGTTCATTGGCTTTCACTGTCAGTTCATCATGCAGAACACAGGTTCAGAGGGGTGACCAAGACAGGGAGGTAGTATTTTGTTATTTCCTTGAAGAATTACTTCTGGGCTTAAGCTAGAAGATGATGGTCAGGCAGCCAAGAACACCAGTCTCACCTGCAGCTATCATCCCTGCCATGACCGCCAGTGGGCGACCTGTCAAACACACAAAGGACACATGGGTTGTCGGCTGGCGCGAAGGTCCACAGCCATCTGCACGTGAGACCCCGAAACATGCAACAAATACACTGTCTGGGCCCCTCCCAGAACTACTGAGCCAGTCTCCGGGGGAGAGGCCAGAGCAGGTAGGGATTCCGCATGCGGGAGGAAAGAAGTACTCATCTGGATTCTGCCTAGACTTTGATGTATTATTCTCTTGTCACACACACAAATGAGGATTTCTGAAGTTTGAGAAAGCTGTGTGCAATTCTGTGTCCTACAGCCAATTCCAGTCGCCCAAGGGTTAGGAGTTACAGGCTTCAGTGTAAGAATAGGAAGGTACACCAATTCACTAATTCCGTTGTCCTGGTGGGGCTCTGAGAAGGTGAGCCAGGACCTGAGGGTGCTGTGGACCCTCCTCCCGGCCCTCAACATCTCTCTACCAGTGACGCCTGGCCTAGAACCTCCCATTGGAGATTGTCTCCCAGGACCAACCCCTTCCCACCTACAAGAGTTGAAAACCCACAGTGGGATGGGACTGAAGCTTTACTAAACCTGTGCATTCAGCGTTGTTTCTGACTCAGTCTTTGCCCAGAAGCTGGCTAAGGGCAGGACACCGAGGGACCTAGGGGTGTGATGGTTGAGAGTGGGCACTGGTGTGGAGAACTGCTGGTGTTGGCATTCAGGTCATGTGGGAACACCAACAGCAAGGGAAGCTCTGTGGGGCCAGGGCAGAGTCCGGAGTTAGGCAGAGGCAAGGGGAGGGCAGGAATGGAATTGCCACCTTGACTTTGTCCTGGTCTGGCGCATCTGCCATCTTCCCTGGGCAGGAAGTGTCCTTAGCCACCTGTTATTTCTTAACCACCCCCCACCCGTATCTTGTTGCTATTGCCTCACAATCCTCAGACCTAACAAACCCAAAGTGCTGTACAGAAGCGTGAGAAATCTGCTTCCTGTGTGTGAACCGCAACGGCGGAGGATGGCGAGGAGGACATCGTGAGGCGGGGCCACGTGATCTCTAAGGCGCTGTCTGTCTCTGCCACTGGACAGCCGGCTGATTCCATGTCTTCCCATCGCCACTGGCTTGGAGAGTAAGACACACCCACTTCCCAACAGAACTTCTTCCCCAGAGATTTGATAAACCGAACGTGCTAGTATCGCCTTCCCTACCTGGTGGCGTGACCATTGAGTAGTCAGCATCTGTAAGCAGAAAGGATTAAAATGATCAGCTGTGAGCAAATAATGCACTGGTTGATTTTCAGTAGTTATTTTTACACTGTCTTTTGAAAAGTACTGTCTTGGAAAGAGCCAGAGCCGGGCTCTGCTTGGGCGGGAGCGGGCATTACCTGAGCAGATGACGCCGGCGTCCTCCCCGTGCTCACAGTTGTGGGAGAACCAGCCAACGTGGGAGCACTCCTGCAGGTGCCCCTCGTCGCCCCGGCAGTGCACGTTGTCAAGGAGGATCTTCCCGGAACCCTTCCCAAAGTGGGCCTCACCCGGCGCCGCAACGGCCCAGCCGCAGCCCAGCTGTTTGCAGACGATGTTCGCTTCTGGCAGGTCCCAGAGGTCATCACACACAGTGCCCCAGACTCCCTGGTAGAAAAGCTCCACGCGGCCCACACAGTTCCCACGGCTGCCGACCAGCCGCACAGGGGCCCAGCCTCCTGGGGAAGAACAGAGGTTGGAGGGGTGACAGTGCTCCCTTTACCTGCTGATGCCCGGGCTGTCTTCCACCCAGCCCAGCTTTCCTTGTTTCCATGACGTCGCTGCTCACACCCTTCATGCCCTGCCAGTCCCCAGATGCGTGTGCTCTAAGAAGCCTGCAGTGTCCTCCTTACCCACACCCTATGTTAAGACAGCTTGCCTGGGTTAGACTGTTCACAGAAATGGCCACAGTTCTCTTCCTTAGATTTTCACTCCTTACAATGTGACAGTGCAGCTCTGCCCATCAAGAGGTTGAGCTTATTTTTCTACTTGATCCTGGGCTGGTGGCCCCTGACTTGTTTTGGCCAACAGAATGTGTTGGAAGTAAAGGTGCACCCGCGCGGAGCTGAGGCCTTGAGAGGCGAGAGGGCTTCCGTCCACTCCATGGGAATTCCGAGGCAATCACCTGAAGAAGCTTGTTCTGGACCGAGTGACCAAGCACACATGGCCTCGGCATGTCTGTCGCCTAAGATGACAGCTATGGAACTATAAGACATGTGAGGGAGGCCATGCTACGCCCGGCAGTCTTCAACTGACCCGCCAGCTAGTCACAGACACTGGACCAAGCCAAGACAAGCCAAGCTGAGCCCAGGCAGGCAGAACTGCCCGGCTGAGTGCTAGACTCCTGAGCGACCATGAAAGGGGCAAGGGGAGCCCGTGCCTGAGAGTAAGGCTCAAGGGCTGCTCAACTCCTTTCTTGTTTGAACTCCCCTGACTGAGCTCCCCGCACAGAGAAAGCAAGGTGGGGCCTCTTGTACGGCACAGACCACCTCCTCCTCATGTTATGGCTTTCTGTGGACAAGACTTATCTCCCTACTAAGCTGCAGATTCCCTGAGAGGTGGGACTATGTCCGGTTCAGTGTTCGGTACTCGGTAGGCATGCAAGATAAAAATGCTGTTAAGCAGGTGAAGGAAAGAAGTGGAGAGAACAGATCTTTAACGTTCTCATAACAAGAAGAAAAAGTCTGTGAGTATGTATGGTGATGGGTGTTAACTGGACATATTTTGATCATTTCATAATATATGTAAATATCAAATAATTATGTTGTATACCTGAAACGAATACAATGTTATAAGCCAAGTAGACCTCAAAAAAAGTGCAAAAAAGTGGATACAGAGAAGAGAGTTTGGACAGATACATTAAAAAATGTGGACTTAAAAATTTTTTAATAAAATACGGAGTGTGAATTCAGGTAGTCAAAACTCACAGAGCCAATGAGGGTGTCTTTGGTGATCACCACGTCCCCAAGGTGATCACCGTGTCCCCAAAGCCATGGCCAACAGAGAGGAGTCAGGGCCCCTGCCAGGCCTGTTCCCCCAGGGAAGCTCTCCGACTCCGAGGTGGTGATAATGGCCCCTCTCTGTCCCCCCTCAGTCTTTTGGCTGTACAGCCAGATAAAGGGAATCAATTGTGCATTTTTTTACTCCTGTCTTATCTGACTTCAGGATGGACCTAATTTCTAAACAAACCAAAGCCCAACTCAGGGCTGAGTATCCTAAAATATTACTCGTCCATGTGTACAGCAAAACATCTTCAAGAGCAACCTCATTCTTCATTAATTCTGTATGGTTACTGGCCAGCCCTGTGCTGTAATTTGAAAGCATATTAATGTCCCCCACCCAGCAGCCCATGGTGAGTCTAACTACCTGGTTTCTCCCCTCCCTGGCACAATCCCATTGCCCCTCACTGTTTAATCTTGGCTTAGGTATCATTCCCTCCTGCCCAGACTCACAGATTGGCATGGAGACCCTCTTCTGGGCAGCCATATGCCCTGTGCTCCCCAGCACAGTATTCACCACTCTTGTTTGTAGGAGTACCTCCCCATCCCTGCTGCTGACTTAATCTGCCCGAGGATCAGCTTTGCTTACTGTTTCATTTATATATCCCCAGTGACATTATATATCCTTAGTGACACACGTTCGTTCCATCATTCATTGTCAGATGAATAAAGTTGTGCAGAAACAAAAAGAAACAACCTTACCTGGAGGTGCAGAGGAAGCTACGCGTTGGGCCTCAGATATCACTGAGGACATGGGAAGTAGGGTCTCGTGGGCTGTCGGGCGAAAAGGAAGGACTGGCATCAAGGAACAGTCAGAACATTGGAAGAAGATACACAGTGGCTTCTGGGGGCACCTGCTTCCTCCCAGGACTCAGCGGGAATAACGATGCACCTTCATCCCAAGGCCGGTGACCTCACATCCCCAGGATCTCTATGTAGAGCAAGGCATGGTATTACTGCCTATGGGCCAACTAATGGGCACCACATGGCCACTGGCAGAAGCCAGGCTCATGGGCAATTTGCCCCAAGTGGCCTGCGTACAAGAGGCCATCAGGTGGCCGTCACCTCCCTCTTGGCTTCCTTCTCCCCGGGTGTGTCATGGCTTCACCTGAGTAAAGCAAGGAAAGTCACGCAGCAGTTCCTGGGGAGCAGTGGGTGTGCACAGGGATGAAGGCATCAACTCTGAAATGCATGAGGAGACCTCTGGGGGGGAGGGAGCCCCTCTATTCCTTGACTGTGATTAGACAGCTCAGTTGTATACATGGCCTTAAAATGCATGAGTTCTATGGTATGTAAGTCAAAGTGTTTAATTAAAAAATAAGATGGGTTGATGGATGAATAGAGGGATGACAGCTGGATTGATGAGTTGATCATACAATCTAGGTAGAAGTTCATTGTTAAATTTTTCAAACTTGCTGTATATTTGAAAACTTTCATAATCAAACACTGGGGAGGAGTGTGCCTCAGTTTCTACCACAAGACTTCTATCTCTGATTTTCTATGACAGCCTCTTGCTTTCCCCAGTGACATACACTTAATTCAGCCAATGCACATGGCTGCTTGTCCTCTCTTCAGTCACAGAATGTTAAAGGCATACAATTTTAGGGAGCATGGACTCCAATGTGCCTGTTCTAATGACACGTGAGAACCAAGGACATTCAGCTGGAGAGTGACCAGCCAGGACCAGATTCCTACAGGGCTCCTTCCACGCCCCACAGCACCGCCCTTAGGGGGGGTGACCTGGCATGTGACCCAAGGAAGAAACCAGTGCTCTGAGCACCTGTCAGATGCCAGCTATCTTTAGGCATTGCCGATTCATGTCCCTCTTCAACCCCCTACGTTATTCTTACTTTAATGAAGAGGAATCGAGATGAATGGGATTGAGAGATGATATAACATGGCACTGAGGTCTCATAACTGAGATCACATATGTCATGTCTTTTCTCTCCCGCTAGGGTGCACAGTCTACGAAAGAAGCCACCTAGGTGGTTTTGATCACTGCCGTAGCTCCAGTGCTTATCGGCAGAGTTTGATATGTGGTGGATACTCAATATCCACTGACTAAATGGATGAGTGAATGAATAAAGTGGGGGATCAAACAGAATCTGAGTCCAAACCTCATGATCTTTTACACATTAAGCTGAATCTAGCAGATGATGCTGAATGTAATAAGCATCCTACCTGCAGGCAGAGCAGCTGTGGAATCAGCACCTGGCAATGTAAAGAGAGATTGTGCACATTATCTTCTTAATTGGGGAAAGCTTCCTGGAATGTCCTATGTTTAGGGAGCTAAGGGAAACAGAAAGAGAGGGAAAGGCCCTGCCTTGAGAATCTTGGCATTTCCTGGGGATGTGAGGCTTGAGACCAGGCAGCAAATGTTGAGTGTCCCATGAGGGCTTCAGAGGTCAATGCTGCCCCAGGGGCATTAGGCATTGAGGTGTGGCTCAGGAGGCACTGGGTGCCACCTGGCAGAGCTTGTCATTTGTACTGGAGATGTTATTCCAGCTGCCAGTGGGACAGAATCAGAAAAGACTGGGGAGTACTGTGGGGCAGAGGGACACAGGTTTGGGAAGGTCACCATGCCCTACATAGAGGGCCTAGAACATCAGCTGGCAAATCTGGCCCATCGTCCAGGGGTCACAAACTCAAACCCACAAGTTTCTCAGGGCCACGGGGTAACTTGAGTAATGGACAGCACTGTGTGAACTGGAAAGCTGTCTCCAGACCAAAGGGGCAGCTTTTTCTCAGATCCAGCCAGTTACTGTAATAAAAGCATTTGTTGTTTTGAGCCTCAACTTCAGCTTTTATTTTGTTCACATAATGTAAGAATTTGGATTTTTAGGCCAAATACTCTGATTTGCTAAATTCAAATTCAGCCTAAACTTTCAAACCAAACAGGCCACTTCCAAGCCTGGAGGCAGCTGATGAGCCATCCTGAGCCACCCCTGCAGTCAAGGGGATGGTCAGGCTGATGCGTAACTGAAAGGATGCCCGAGACACTGGTTGCCTGCCTGGATCCCCTGACATTCCTAAGCTGGGCAGTGTCGTGCATGTGCCTGTGTGTGGAGAGGTGGGTAGTGAGACGACAGGAGTCGTCCTCCGAATAGGACTGACAGCCCGCCCCTCACCTGTGCAGACAACGCCGGCGTCCTCCAGGTGCCCACAGTTGGGCTGGGCCCCATCCCCACGCACGCACTGCCCCAGGTGGCTCTCACTGCCCACACACTGCATGTTGTCCAGCATGATCTTCCCAGAGCCTGCCCCGAAGTGGGCCCCTGTGGGGGCCGCCACTGCCTGGCCACACTGCAGTTGGCGACACACGACAGCGGCCTCGGCCAGGTCCCAGAGGTCGTCACACACGGTCCCCCAAGTGCCCTGGACGAGAACCTCCACTCGGCCTGAGCAGCTTCCCATGCCGTCCACCAGCCTCACGGCCATCCAGTCCCCTGGGGAGGAATGAGGAGGAGAAACTGTGGGGGTCTGGCATGCCTGACCAAACAGGCCACTTCCAAGCCTGGAGGCAGCTGATGAGCCATCCTGAGCCATCCCTGCAGTCAAGCGGATGGTTGGGCTGATGTGTAACTGAAAGGATGCCCGAGACACTGGTTGCCTGCCTGGATCCACTGACATTCCTAACTGGGCAGCGTTGTGCATGTGCCTGTGTGTGGAGAGGCGGGTAGTGAGACGACAGGAGTTGTCCTCCAAATAAGGGGGAATTCTTTAATCAAAGCTGGACTCTGACTCCAACTTTTGTTGCAGTCAACTTCAGTTTCCTCCCAAAGGTTTCCTTCATCCTTTCAAGTCCTTAGGTGATTATGTCACAGTCCTCATGCACCCACACATCAGAATAGCCAGAATAATCTTCTGTTAGAAATTCCTTCAGTAATACACTACTATATTCCCTCTTCCAGAAGATGAAACTCTCTTTAAGAAATTTCCAGAATTCCTAAGTTCTCCTAAAAGACCATTTATCCATAAGTTATCCCTCTGCCATAGACAGGGATAGAAAGATGAGAAATCAATATATCTAATGAAATAAGACCCTAGACTGAACACAGGCAGATTATAGCCAAATAGACCCCTTGTCATCAGGACTACATTAGTCTCAGAGCAACTTGGTCCCATGGCCCCATTAATCTTTCTTTATGACTTTACTATAAGAGACTGAGAATGGGAACTAACATTTGTTGTTTCTGAGTTAAGTGCAAGAGCCTCAGGGATTCACAAACTTAAACTTTTCTCCTTAATCTTTACAACAACTCCATGGGGTAGAAGACTGATTTCCATTTCACAGAAAAAGAACCAAGACCCGGGAAGTGAAGAGCCTTGCTCTAAATCCCATGGTCTGTAAGTGGGCTATCTCCCATTTTATCTCTGCCTTGGCTTCCCCCTGCTTGGAGAAACTCCTCTCTCAGGCCACTCATCAGACCTTCATTTCTCAGGCTTCACATACCTGTAGGTGCAGGTGTCAAGGCCTCAGGGGCTGTGGTCAGTGGAGGCTCTGAGACACCATCAGCTAGAAGGAACCACACAGCTGGGTCACCATCAGTCAGTAGAGTGAAAAGAATAAAGTAAACAGACTGCTGGAAGGACTCATTATAAACCCTTTTGAATCTTTTTGTTTTATTTTGATCCATCTAAATACGTCATCATCACCACCATCAAACCAGAGTGTTTACCTTTTTATTTATCTATTATATGTTCATGGTAAACTTATCATCAAATCCTTGGTGCAGTAGAAATAAATCTTTAAAAATCAGAAGGCAGATTTAAGAACATCATGCTTATGGAAACCTAAAGGAAATAAAAGCAATCTCTACAAATAATAATGCTGTGTGCCATCATTCATTAACAAATATCCAATTCATTCATCATTCATGAACAAATATGTATCCACTGTAAAGAAAGTGAGACAGAGTGCCTGTATTTCAAAGGCTTGTAACTCAGTCAGAAGCCAGAAGCAACCAAGTACCTGGATGATGAGGTGGATTATGAGGATGTGAACAGAAAGGATACAGATACAGAGGGTGTTTCCTTGTGGTGGCCAGGGGAGGCTACCTTGAGAAACAGAGCATCAAAGCCACAATAGGACTTCAGTGGGTGGAAGAAGAGGTTTCTGGCAGCACAGATTTTGGAGGAAAGCAGCCTTGAATTTAGATATTCAGGGAGATGAGGTAATGTGTATTTAACTTGATGAGAATATTGTGGTAGCATGTGCATTAATCCCCAATACCTGGACTTCCCATTTTTCTTACTCACGTTATGTAGAAAGCTTCCTAAGAGCTGGTACAAAGGAAAAAGGGATTTGGGTAAAGTGTATTGCATGAGCATGGCCTCCTTTGACTTCTAGTGTGGATTTTAAAGGGTTAATTGTATATGAAGGGCTCCTAGACATCTGGTAGTAAAGAAACCTGTTTAATTTGTTTAATGCCATGTTTCATAAATTCATGGAAATTATGTGTGTGTGTGTCTCTGTGTGTGTGTGCGCAATTCATCTTAACATCTTGTTGAGCTAGTGGTTCTGGGAGCATGTCCTCAGAAACATCTTTATTTAACTACCTAAAAGTTCCTAGTAGGGGCTGGAGGTGCCAAGCAATGCTTGTTATTAAATTTACAGTTTTATTCTTATTTCTAGGAATATGAACTAATTTGTATTAAATAAAAAATATAAATATATGGGATATAAGGTTTCAGTGTAAACTCAAAAAAGCTGCATTTACATACCTATTGGTGTTTGTTCTTCCCCAGAGGTGACAGGGGCAGTTGGTATTTCCACAGCTGTAGTGAAAACATATCATCAATTTGTGATGAACGGCCCCTCAAATAAACAAAACTAACTCTGAGCAAAGGGAAAGCCATCTGGCACACCAAACCAATTTCTAGTATCTCTTTGTGAAATATAAGGAGCCAGTTCTAAGGGCTTAGGAAATTTCTAGCCTAACATGATTGTTTTAATCTGGGATCTAATTCTTACTTCATCACATATTACAAGTGACTGTCCATTTCCCAGTCTATAAAACTGGGAATAGGAAATAAGTTTATAAACTAAGAAGTGACTAAGTTAAAGAAATTATCATAAAATTCCCAATAAATACTTCATTATTTTGGGAAAAAAAGAGCTAGCCAACTAACCACAAAAATAAATATTGAGATATTTAAAAAAACTAAAAAATACCTTTTACAGTAACATAAAAAACATGACATTCTTACAGACATGTCTGATAAACATGTGAAATTTGTACACAAAAAAATACAAAATACTGATAAGGCAAATTAAAACCCTAAATAAATGAAGAGATACAGTGTGTTGATGAATAATAAAATTCAATAATGTTAGATGTCAATTTTTCCCAACATAATGCAAATAAAAAATCCCAACAGACTTTTTTTGGTAGAAATTTACACGTTGATTCCAAAATTGTATATGAAAAACAAAACACCTAGGTTAGCCAAAATAATTTTGAACAAGAAGAAAAAGAACAAAGCTGGAGCACTCATACTACCTGATTTCAAGACTTACTCTAAAGCTACAGTAATCAAGACAGTGTGATATGGACATAAATTAGTGGAACAAAAAGTGAGTTAAAAATAGACCCATGTATAAATGGCTATTTTATGTTTGGGTCAAGTACCAACATACTTCAGTGGAGTTAGGAAAGTCTTTTCAACACATGGTTTCGGAATGATTAGACATCTACCTGGAAAAAAAAATCCTATAAACCCCACCTTAAACCATTTAAAAAAAATCAACAAAAATGGATAGAGCTAAATGAAAAATCTAAAACTGTGAAACTTCTAGAAGAAAATAGGAGAAAATCTGTGAGACCTTTGGTTAAGTGAAGATTTGTTAAATAAAACACAAAAGCACAATTTAGTAAAGAAAAAAGTCTTGGTAAATTAGATCTCATTAAAACAAAAACAAATTCTGCTCTTTAAAAAACACTGTTAAGAAAATGAAAATACAGGTCATACACTGAGAGAAAATATTTGCAAAAACATGTATCTTAGAAAATACTTGTATCCAGAATATATAAAGACCTGTCTTACAATGCAATAAGACAAACAACCCAGTTAAATAAAATGATAAAAGATTTGAACAGATACGTCACCAAAGACATGAAAATAAGCACATGAAAATGTGCTCAGTATCATTAGACGTTAGGGAAAGGAAAATCAAAACTAAAAAGAATTATTGCTTTCTCATTATAGGTGAGAGACTATAATGACCAAACAAAATACAGAAAATCCAAAGTGTTGATGAGGATGTGGAGCAACTGTACCTCTCATATGTTGCTGGTGGGAATGCAAAATGGTACAACCACTTTGGAAAATAGTTTGCAACCTTTATGTAGCTGTTTTTAATAGCTTAATTAATAATAGTAAAACATTGGAAATAAACTCTATCTATCACATGGTAATTGGTAAATAAACAAATTCGGTACATCCATACAGTGGAATACTACTCAGGAATAAAAAAGAATGAATATCTGATACATGGGACTACATGGATGAATCTCAAAAGTATTTTTGCTAAGTAAAGAAGCCCAACACAGAATGCTATATAATGTCTGACTATACTATATAATATTCTGGAAAAGGTAAATCTATAGGGCCAGAAATCATATCGGTGGCTGCCAGGATTTGGGTGTCAGAAGACAGGATTGAGCACAGGGAACTCTTTAAGGTAATGGAAATGTTCCATATTTTGATGTGGGGATGGTTATATAACTAGAACCTTACATCAAACTTCTTTGAACTAAATGGTGATTTCTACCAAAGGTAAATTATATCTCAGCATGCCTGACTTTTTTTTTAAAAGGTAACTCTGACTGCATATAAGCAATGGACTAGAATGTTGGGAGCTGGTAGGCAGGGAAGCCAGTGAGAAGTCCATGTTCATCCAGGCAGGGAGACAGTGAGGAGTTGGATCGGGACAGTGGCTGTCCGACGAAGAGGCCGTGAACACAACCACAGGCTTGTAGTTTTAAATGGAGAATTGTTCATCTACAAAGACCTGTGTATTCATTTAACACTAGATATCTAGATGTTTGTATATATCTTAATAATTTACTCAAATATTCTTGTTTGGATGTTTAGCTTTGTATATACACACCCATAAAAACACATCAACTAAAACAATCAGGGAAGTGATTCACAGATTCAACTTACTAGATAGACTAGTTTTTGCTGATAATGGTGATGGCGGTGGTGTTGGTAAGAGTGATGCTGGGGATGATGACAACGGTGATGATGGAGATAATGACAGTGATGACAATGACGAGGAGGCTGCTGATGGTGACGATGATGAGGATGATAATGATGATAATTCTGCCTCTATTTATTAGGATAAGAAAGATTCTGCCTTTGTTTTAAGAAGGTGGTTCTCAAAGTGTGGTCCCCACACAAGCAGCATAAACACGTGGACTTGCTGGAAATGCAAATTCTCAGGCCTCGCTCCAGGCCTACTTAATCAGAAATTCTGAGATGTTTTAATAAGCCCTCTGGGTAATTCTGATGCATAATAAAGTTCAAAAGCCATTGCTTTAGGATAAAAAAGAAAAGATTGAAATGGCCTCATGATTTTTCCTAGTGGCAGAGGGACTCTAAAATCACATATAAGTATAAATTTTCAACTGATATAATTTCTTTGCCTGTTGGGAAGGATCAGGCCTCCCAGACTCCAGAGGAATGATTTTCTGACCTAATCACCCTGGAAAGTGAATGGCAGTTTTCTCTCAAATGAGTGACTTGTGATGACTGATGGGCAAGTCATAGAAAACTATATCCTAAAGTCAATGACCATTAGTTACAGTCCTGCAGTGGCCCCAGAAGAGCACCGCCTTGCCTACAGCTGCCTCATAATTTAGTTTTGGCCGGGAAGATTCCTGCACTGGGGTGACCGGATGGTTCGCCAGTTCCTAAACTCCTTGGCTGATGTTGCTCTTCCTGCTGAGGCCTCTGCCAAGCCTCACCCTAAAGGGTGCCTGGGGTCTACCCTCAGGCGGCTTCCTGGAAGAGGGACATTCAGGCTAGGCTTCCTGGAGAAGGAGCCCATGCGTCCATGAGAGCAAGGTCAGCACCTCATATCTGGGTTCTGGGTTCCAACTCTGATGGTGGATTGAACTACAGACAGGGCTTTAAGTGACATGGACCAATCAGACCAGCCTCTGTAAACTGCCTAAAGCTTGATTTAACAGGGTCATTTTCATTCCATTTCTATCACACAGAACAAGTATTAGGCAGACAAAACTAGAAGTAGAATGGGACATACCTGGACATAGGTCTTACCTGGAGGGGAGGGGCTCGCCATCACAGAATCTGTTAGGGTGGAGAGAGGACACGGTCAACCCTCCCAGGAAGGGCCCACTGGCTCATCCTTATTTCCTGTAACAACGCATTCTGTATATGAACCATTCAGAAGGCAAAAAGACCCCCCACCTGAGCAGATGGCTCCAGCGTCCTCCTCATGACCACAGTTGTGAGTGAGCCAGGTGTGGGCACACAGGGTCAGGTGGCTCTCCTCACCCGTGCAGTGCACATTGTCCAGGACAATCTTTCCAAAGCCTGGGCCGAAGTGGGCGCCCAGGGGGGCAGACACCGCCCAGCCACACCCAAGCTGCCTGCACACGACATGCGCCTCCTCCAGACCCCAGCCGTCATCGCACACTGACCCCCAGGTGCCCTGGTAGGAAACTTCCACCCGTCCAGAGCATCTTCCTGTGCCATCCACCAGCCTCAGCGTGGGCCAGTCTTCTGTGGAAAAGAAAATAAAGGTAAGTTTTGGAAACTTACCCACTGAACTCACCACGTTCACCTGGCCTACAAATTAAGGGGAATCTCTCGATTACTCCACGTGTCTAAGAATGTTCTAGAAAAAAAATACTGAATAACTGCAGCACTATGTGATGTGCTCTTTATCAGTCACTCAATAAAGCAGATTAGATTGTAAAATATGTATTTCTCAAGCATTGGTGCTTTGATATCAGCAGAACAGACATGAAAAATTAAGAAAATGTATTTCCACCAGTGGGGAAATGGGTGAATTAAATGGTCTATTCAAAACATGTAACACGATAGCAGTTAAAAGCGGTGAGATGTATATATATGTATGTATGTCAACACAAATGAATCTCAAAAATGTAACAATGAATAAAGAGTAAGAGGTACTGAAGGATATATGGGGACTAATATAATTTGTGTAAAAGAAAAATGCAAAATGACATATAGAGATCATGTTGTGCATATTTGTAAAAATATTCAGAATGAACCGTAAAGATGTACACAAAATTCAAGAGAGTGTTTGTCTCTGAGGAAGAAGGAGAGAATAGATGGGACTGGGGATTTTAGGGACTTCACATTTCTCTATAATGGTTTATTTCTTAATAAGATTGGAAAGCCAATATAGCAACGTACAAGCACCAGTCATGTCTAGATAAAAGGGACATGGTTTCTTATTCTCTGTATTTTCAGAACTTTAAAATATTTTTCTGGGACAGTGGGCAGTGGGATGATCAGGTGCTAAAGCCACGGGGAGGCCCAGCTGATGGGCCCTTTCAGGAGGCCGGGGCCCTTCTTGCCCTCTGGGGTCCTTCCCATGCACTCTGAAGCCTCTAACTGTGCAGCTCCTTCCCCAGATGTGATGATCCCCCTGGGGTTTCGGAGATCAATGGGTGTCCTGGGAGGAAGGTTGCCAACCTGATGGGCTGGGCCCGGGGACGCTGGCTCTGCGACTCAAAGATGGTGAGCCAACCACAGGCAGAACTACAACAACACGGAAACGGTGATTAGGACGGAAACTTCTGCAGACACGAAAGCACATCAGAAAAACACTCAGCCAGCAGTGGGTGAGGGCAGCCAGCAGCTAAGCCATACACTGACAGCACATGTGGACTGGCCACATGCTCATCAAGACTGACCCAGTTTCTAATGAGGTGGAGTCAAGGTCAGGCTGCTGACAGAAAGCTCCTAAATGTGGTCCTGCTGCCCCAAATGCCTCACCCCCCTCTGATCTTGCATCAAATCCAGGTTCTCCATTAAGGGTGCTCAGCCCCAGTAAAATAAGTCATTGAAGAACTGGGAAAAAGTTTTAAAAATACTTGTATTCATAAGGATGCTGATGATAAGGAGGACCCCATGCGGGACACCATGTAACCCTGTGACATTATCCATCAGCTTGTACCTCCCGTCCAGATGGTGTGGCTGTATATCTACAGGGCTAGTGGTGGCATCATTGCTCTACCTGATAAGACAGTTGGTAACTTTTCATTATCTGCTGAGACTGAAAAATAAAAATATTTGTTAGAAGGATTTGGCTTCATTAGTGAAATACTGTTTGCAGGTGAAACACTAATACTGTCTAAGGAGGGATATTAATACAAATAGGGGCTCCCGGCATCTTCCAGAATGATGCCTATGTTTCCTGAGCAGAGGGGTTTGCCTCCACTATGCACTAAGCACTAAGCACTGCCTAGCAGGAATGTTCTTGAGCCCCAAGAATGAAGTTCCCCCAAGAGGAGGTCAAAGAACCTGTTCTCATATGCATTGCTTGCATATCATTCGTTGATTCAATGAACTTTTATTGGTGCTAGGTGCTAGGTGCTGTGATAGGTGCTAGAAATACAGTGACGAGCCAGGTCAATAAAACCCTTGTCCTCCTGGAACTTAACATCTGGTGCAGAAGGACACACTGGGCATCACCTTTCCCCTGACCTCTTGGTAGTGACATTTCCCTGCTCCTGAGCTTCAATTCATCCTTCCTCTGGGCTTTAAATGCTGGAAGTGGGTATGCAGTACATCACGCCCACTGTTTGCTATTTTAATTCAGCTCATTGACCTACCTGGTGGCATGGTTGGGTCGTTAATGTCTTCTGGGATGGCGGGAGCTGAGAGTGCTTTGGAAAAACAAGAATACAGGGAAAATGACTCTTGACGTTTAATGCCGCATGGGAAGACCTTTTCATCTGCTTCACATTCCCAGGAGAATTCAATTGACTTTATACAAGTTCATTCAACATAGAGAACTTTAAAGGAACCAGCAGCTTTGAATACATATGCCAGACATAAAAGGCTACACATATCATATGACTCCATTCATAGGATATATCCAGAATGGGGAAATCCATGAATACAGAAAGCAAGTTGGTGATTGCCAGGTGCTGTGGGGGAGGAGTTGTGACCAAATGGCCTTGACTACTGGCCATGCTGTACACTGTTCACCCAGCTCAGCAGTCATGGAGCAGGACGTCCTCTTTCCTGAGCAGGGCTACCCCACAGGACACACCACCAGGCTCGGAGGAAGCTACTGTCACTTTGCGTGACTGCACCAGGCCCTCCACAAAGTGCTTTACACTGACTCACTGATTTAATCCTCCTTGAAATGCATATTGTCCCTGTTTTTCAGATAAGGAAACTGAGGCAGAGACGTAAAGAATCCTGGGGAGGGGTAGACATCTGGGAGGGAGGAGAGAGCAGTTCCAAACGCAGGGGCCCAGCAGGTGGCTCTGAGCACTGGACTGCCAGGAAGATGGAGTGTACCACTCAGGTCTCAAAAGAATCCTTAGTCACTTAGACATGAGATCTAAGCGTTTCACGTGTTTGCTCTCTTGTTCATATTGGAAATGGACATAAGTATGCAATTTGGGATTGGCTAAAAGGTATTCATCTATTCAAGCACTTACTTACCCAATTAACAAGCACTGCCTGCCCACCAGAGGGCAGACTTTGTTCTTGAGACCGTGGTGCACGCGCATATGTGTGTGTGGTTGGGAACAATATCAAAGAGAAGAAAGATAATGGATTCTGTTCAAAGAAGGAATGAGAGCTGAAAGTGAGACAGATGAACAGCTGTGGGAATCAGCAGAGGGCATGGCTGCTGCCACCTTGGGATGGGGAGCATTGCTGGGGGCTGAGGCTGGAGTCCTAGTGTCCTTAGGATCTTATCCATTCCCTCTGGGCAATGGACATATGGGTTTGGGAGAAGTGAGTGCAAGAGAAAGAAAATAAATGTGGGCCTGGCTCAGAGATCAGCTCCTCTTTTTACCCTGGGCTTCCTTGTATCAAATGGATCCTCAACGCTTCCTGAATCAGCGACATGGCTAGTCAGTCTTTTTTATGATTCATAGAATTTTAATGTGGATTAGAAAGTTAAAATAGTTCAGAGATTAAGCTGTAGGGTTCTGAAGTCAGATTGCTTGTGTTAGTCATTCCACTGACCTTGGGGGACAATGTTTAACCTATTTGCGTTTCCCCCTTCAGAAAATGGGGAATATGGAAGTCCCCTCACCCAGCTGTTGGGACGATTAGATAAGGAAATCCACACGAGGCAGTCAAGACAGGAACCAGGAACTGATACAGGGTAGGGTAATGCTGCCCAATAGAAACAAAGCATGAGCCACACATGGGATTTTAAATTTCCTGGTAGCTACATTTTAAAAAGAAAAAGGTACAATGAATTTAAATAATATATCCTGTTTAACCCAATATATCCAAAATATTATCACTTCAATGCATAATCAATATAAAAATGCTAATGAGAGCAATTTTACATTCTTTTTATTGTGCCAAGTCTTTGAAAGATGCAGTGTGTACGTGCCATGCACAGTGGGCCTCAGTTCCACTGAGCCACATTTCAGGTACTCGGTGGCCACCTGGGCGGGGCAGTGTGAGGCCTTCCTGAGGATCATTATCAGCATCGTCAGAATCTGAACATACGATGGTACAGCTGGAATGTCAGCCATTCCAGGTGATGGAGGAGCGGAGCGGGCGTCAGCCAGCACGATGATAAAACGAAATGGGACCTCTGCTCACCGGGACTGGGAAGGGGTGTCAGTGTGACTCACCGATAAAGGAAAATAATGAAGTCTTTCCAGGCTGGCCACTTGGACACATTAGGCCTGAGGCTCTAGTGTATTTCTTAAATTCAGAAAGGCATAATATGACCCTTTTAGTAATGTCTCTTATTCTAACACATGCGCGCACACACGCACACACACACACACACACACACACACTCCTATTTCCTTGGTTTTTACTCTTTACGTTCGTGAAAGCATGTGAAATGACGAGCCCTGTGCTATGAGGCTCTTTGATAGTAACATTATAGATAACCACACACAGAGTGACATGGAATGAAATGGCAGGAGAGTAACGGCATCAAATCCAGGCTCAGGGTCCTCTCGTCCACTCCTTCTCTCACATGGAACATCAGTGGTGTCTAGTGGTGGCGGAACCAATGACTATCATGACTGCAACTTAGGAGCTACGATAAACGCGCTGGTGGTGGGGGAAGGGTGGGCGGGGAGGGGTCCTACCTGGGGGTGTGGAGCGCACAGCAGTTCCAGGAGGGTGTTGAGCTGAGACAGCGGCAGGTAAGACTGCAATAAAGAGCCGGTTGTTAATAGTGAGTAATGCTCACGGTGACTTGAGACTAGTGTGCCCAGCCAGGGACCCCCTGGATTTCACAAGACATAGTCTTGTCTCAACTGTAAGGCAACTACAGTGTAAATGATGGAAATGCCAACTCACCTGTTTGCCACTGATCCTCAGTCCTGTTCCACTCTACCATCCACATGCCCGCTCTCTCCCAGCCTTGATGTTTTGTGACAAGAATGATATGTTTTGGGTCTAAATATTCTCCCTAAGGACCCCCTGGTACTTTTATCACTTGTTCTGTTTATTCCATTCTGCACCTGCTTCGTTACTGACATGTCTCTGTGGTGTATGTGTTGCCCCAGCATGACGCCTCCTGATGGACCCACAGGCCATGTTCTCTCCTGCCTCCAGATCTGACTCCTCACAATGTCTGACCATGGGAATTCCTTACAATACCCTTAAGGGAACCTGACAGAAGACACCACAGTGGGTGGACACCCATTGCTTATCTCTTTGTATTGACTTGGGTAGATGCTATCCCCCTTATGCTGTGCCTTTCGTCTCTGTTTGCTGTTTAAGTTACCATATTTCAATGTATGTTCTGAGCAATGTGTCCATATCTGTGCCAATGAGCAGCAGCAACTACAGAACTGTACGTAATAAGTAAGTGTGGGAGGCAGAATGCAGCCCCCCAAATATGTCCTCATCCTAGTCCTTGGAACCTGTGAATATGTTAGGTTACATGACAAAGGAGAATTAAAGCTAAAGATGGAACTAAGGTTGCTAATCAGCTGCTTTAGGAGAGGGACCTTATTCTGGATTTTCCTGGGGGACCAGTGTAATACCACTGTAACACCGTAACAACACACTAACATTGTAACAAGGTAACAGTGTTATTGTCTTATAACAATTACATTGTAACAATGCAATCAATCTTACAAGTGGAGACAGAAGGCAGAAGGGAGAAAGTTGAAGACACTATACTGTTGGCTTTGAAAATGGAGGAATGAGACTATGAGGCGAGAAAGGCAAGGGGCCCCCAGAAGCTGGAAAAGGCAAAGTAATCCTCCTGCAAAGCCTCCAGAATGAACATAGCCTGGCTGATACCTCGATTTTAGGTCAGTAAGACTTTCTAGAATTGCAAAATAATAAATTTGTGTTTTTAAGCCCCTGTTTGTGGCAAGTTGTTATAGCAGCAGTGGGAAACTCTTACAAAAAGCAAATAGTATGTGTGATCAATGACGCTTCCTTCAAAAAAAAATTGTAAACATATCATTTATAGAACTTGAGAATTCGGATACTCAGCAGCCAAAATGAAAAACTTAAAGATAAGTACAAAACCACAACGTTCTAAATGTTTTTTCCCATTTTTATTCAAAACAATGGCACTGGTATCCATTTTTTTTAGAAGTTAGTGTATCTATTGAGGGGGCAATACCCTGACTCTGTAATAACGAGCAGGTTATAATGATCCACTCAGTGAAATAACAGTAACTCTCTCATTTATTGCTTTTCTGCATTTGGATGGGTCATCAGAAATGTTCAGGGGAAAACAGCACAAAAATGTTTCCCTACCTGATAATATGGCTGCTGAATTTCCATCACCTATTGGTACAAATAAATTGAAATACTTTCTTAGATAAAACAACTTTTACCCTAACTACTTATTGACTTTCAACAAATCCTTAATGTGACAGGTTAAAACTATGCAATGTAAAATACAGTCAACTCCTGTTGAAATACAGTCCCTTGGACATACTGGGCTCTCAGAAGTATTTAATGATTTGATTGTTTTCAAGAGCCTCTAGAGATACTAGCTTTACCATGTGATACTAGCTGTTTGGAATATCCACACACTGAGTGCAAGCCAGTCACCACTGGAACTTGAGGCCACCTCCTTGTCCAGGGCAGTGGTGCCCAACTGGGACCAAAGGAGGGTGACCATGGCATGTCCACATCTGAGCTGCTTTCTTAGCTCATGCCCCTCTCAGGATACTGTGGCATCATGCATGCCTGCTGGGCCCTTAGTGAATGCTTCTTAGACTGTTATATCCTGTGGCATTTATACATTATATAATATATAAATGACATATATATAGGTGTACGTGCATATATACATATAAATATGTATCCTGCCACAGATTTCAAATGACAGCATAATACATATATATGCATAGCAAGACCAGAAAAACAGAATACAAGATTAATGACCATATGGAGAGAAGGGAAATAAATAGAAAAATAACCAACCAACCAATAATACCCTCAGATCATTATTTGAATTAATTATTCAGTTAAGCTCTGGCATTTGAAGGGAGATGGAATAATGGCCATGATAGAATTATCACTGTCCGATAACTGGTACCTTCCTAAAGGAAGTTATCATATTTTTTTAAGGATACTGAGCATATTAATGATAATAAATTGTTTTCAACTGAAATTTTATAGGAGAGGCAGAATATTGGAATATGTCTATTTTTTTTAATTCAGTAAGTATTTATTCAGAACTGATTATGTACCAGGAACTGTCCTTGGCTCTGACATAAACTTGCCAAAGTTCCTGCTCTCACGAAACTTACTTTCTGGGGACTGGGGTGCGGAGGACGCACACGAGCAGGTGAACAACAGGAAAATATAAAGACGATCTCAGATGTTGTAAGTGAAATGAAGAGATAAACAACAGGTTGGTAAAATAGGTGGCTGAGCGGGAGTCTGTTTTGGACTGTATATTTAGGGGAATCTTTTCTGAAGGAATGATATTTTAGTTGTGACCTGATTACAAGGAGTCAGCTGAGGAAAAATCTGGGAGAAGAGCATTCCAGACAAAGGGAAGAGCCAGTACAAAGCCCTGAGGAGGGAACTACCTTGTTAGTTACAAGAGATGGGAAAGAAGCCAGTGGGGAGCACACAGGGCAAGATGAAGGGTTTTCTCAGTGGTCAGAGACACAGACAACGGCTAGACCATGTGAGGTCTTACAGGCCCTGGTGGAGGGTTGGGATATTAGTCCCAAATACAATAGAAAGCTTTTGGAGGGTTTTGAGTAAGGGGAATGTCTGATTTATAATTTACCAGTCCATTGGTTTCTGTGACAAAAATAGATGATGAGTGTTGGAGGGGAGAGAGGGGAGGTAGACGACTACTTAGAAAATTGTTGCCATAATGTGGGTGAAAGATGACGGGGCTTTGGATGATGGCGGGATGGAGCTGGGGGATGCTAATGGGTTCAGCAGATATTTTGGAAGGAAGACCCACAGAATTTTCTGATACATAGATTGTGTGGCGTGAGGGAAACAGAGGAAGAAGGATGGAGCCAAAGACTGGATTGAGAAACTAACTCAATGGGCAGAATAGTCTAGTTCAAATGCCAGCTCTTCATAAAAGCCAAGCAAAGTTTCACAGGCTCTAACAGATTAGCAGCTGTGCCCCTTTTCTAACTTCATGGCCTTGGACAAGTTGATTACATTTTCTATCCCTCAGTTTCATCAAATGGGGATTAGAGTAGTACCTACTTTATGAGGTGGTGAAAATTAAAGAGGTCATTCATGCACAGTGCTTAGAATTAATTTAGCAGAGCAGGCATCAGGACACTAAAGCCTGTGGTTCAAATCCAGCTCAGCCCCTGTTTTTGTAAATAAAATCCACTGGAACATGGGGCATCCACATCAGTTTACAGGTGGCTATGGCTGCTTTCATGCCACAGTAGCAGAGTTGTGTAAATGCAACAGAGAACACCTGCTCCACAAAGCCTGTGCTATTTACTACCTGGCCCTTTACAGAAAAGAGTTGCTGACTCCTGTATTGGAAAATTAAATAACTAATAATTATGCAGGTAAAGGTCTGCCTGGAATATCATTAACATTCAATGAAAGTTTGCTTCCGTTATCACTCAATATATATGAACTCATTTAACCCAGATGAAACTCTGCAAAGTTAAGTGTTTTTAATCCCAGTTTTAAAAGAGAGAGTAAGCAACTTGCTGAGGTCATATTAAGTGGCAGGGATGGAACTTGAACTCAGACCTTCTGCTGCCAAACCCTCATTTTTCCCTCATCCAGAGCACACCTGCCTAGGACACAGGCCTATCTTGAACATGTTCCCACTGGATTTATTAGTTTCAGGACACATCAGTTTTCCAGTACCAGTAAACTGAGAGTTCATATACATATATGTTATATTGTCCCCTCAAAATTTGGTTCAGCAATTCAAGCCAAAAGAAAAATTTTCACCAAGTAAGGACCAATACTGCAAATTCAACATGAAAATATTTCCTACCTTGGGGCATTGGCTGTGATTCCTCAGCATTCTCTGCAGGGAGAGAGGGTGGGAATTCAGTAGCTGTTATTATGTAAAAGAATCCATTCCCTCCACCAGCCACACCAAGCCCACAAAGTGGGAAAGGGCCTATGTTGAACAGTTGCGTAAGCTATATGAATAATTTCCCAAGTTTTTTCTTTAACATGGTTGGTAGGAATAATGCTTTTAACAAACACACCATTGGATAAAAATATCAATACTAGAGAAAATTTAAAGCCCTTATGATTGAAATGAAAATAAAACCAACTCTTCTGAAAGGAAGAAAGTGGCCCAACAGCATTTTCAAAATGGCAGGATCATCTTAATGGCCAGGAATGTGGAAATGGCAAATAGTGATTGTTGAAATATGGCAATCCTAGCCCTCTGACTATTTATTCGATTTTTCTCTTTGTGATTTACCTGCTCCCTGCCCAGGTAGCTCATAGAATGAAATACATCAGGTTGGCAAAATATGAACTTCCCCCCTTGCAGGCTTCAAATACTCAGCCTCTGTTAATGTGTGCAAAAAAGAAAGGATCTACTTTAGAAAAGAGCAGCTGTTTCCAGAGATGCTTCAGTTCAAAGCAAATTATAAAAATGAAACAATATGATTCCCTGAAGTAAAAATGTTGAGGCTCCTTAGTTCAGATGACCATAATTAACCATCAAACATGTAAATGTTTATTAGTACACTGTGTCTCATAACGTGTGTTCTACCTAGTTGTGGCTTTCCTGTTCCCACACTGTAAACATTCATCCTACACATGAAACAGGTGGAGCCCGGTGGCTTTACAGAATAGAGTGCTTTGATGAAATTCTAAACAAAACCCCAAAAGTAAAATAAAACAAAATAAAGACAAATCAAAGGGGAAAAAAAGAAACAAACAAAAATGAGAACGAACACATACCACAGACACACACCAGTATTTGAGTGGTTTGAATTGACTTTTAAAAGTGAATTACATTAGTGTCATTTGGATACAATCTTTCTAGCTGTGTCCAATTGGAATTTTTAGCAAGTGATCAAGTTCACTACTGTAGACCCACTACATTATTTCCTTTATTTCTCATTGATGTACACACATCTTTAGCCTTGGTAGTACAATGAATATTAGGCCCATGTTTTGTGCAAATTCATTTGTATGTGTAGAAGAGTGTTTCTCAATCAGGGACAGCTCTTCTCCATTACCCCTCACCTCCAAGGGACATTTGACAATGTCTGAAAACCTATAGTGTGCAGGACAGCACCCACCACACAGAATTATGTGGCCCAAATGTCAACAGTGCTGACATAGAGAAATCATTGTCTAAAACGATCATGATGATTCCTAACTGGTCGAAGACTTGTGATTGGCTGTACATGGCCTGGACTCACAATCAGTAGGAGAACCCTCAGCGCTATTCTAATTACTAATGGAGTCTTCACCTTCATTAGGCTGCAAACTAGCAGTGGAAAAACTTTCTTAGTTCCCTGCAGTGTCCCCAAGAAAGGTAGAACACACTCAGTGATGGCTAATGTCATTGTTGACTTTTGCTGTCTTTTCACCATTTTGAAGTGGAGTCCTTGTAATGGGACCACCAATATCTTGCACTACTTTTCTCTACAAAATATGCATTTGAACGTCTTATAGCCAGAAAATTCCCGAGGTCAAGTCGAAGCTTTCAAATTACACATATCTCCTTACTTTGGGCTCATACAAGTGTCAGAGGTGGTCGACAATTACACAGGTGTAATGGGATTAGTGGAGATGCCGTCTGCATAATGAGACGTGCCGCTGTGGAGGGGAAGGTGACCATTACCTGAGCAGACGACACCGGCGTCTTCCCCAGGACCACAGTTGTGGATGGACCAGTCGGCATGAGGACACTCTCCCAGGAAACTCTCTGTTCCCGTACAGTCCACATCATCGAGCAGGAACTCTCCTTCGCCTTCACCAAATGGGGCCCCAACCGGAGCTGTGAGGGCCCGTCCGCAGTTCAGCTGCCGGCACACCACATCAGCTTCATTCATGTCCCATTGGTCATCACAAACCCTGCCCCACTGGCCATGGTAGAAAACTTCCACACGTCCAGAACATCTGCCTGACCCATTCACCAGTTGCAACTGCGGCCAGTCTTTCAAAGATACAAAAACATTGCATGTTAGGAGAAGGAACATATTTTGCATGAAGCCATTTGCGTCACTGTTCAACAAGTATTTATTGAGCACGTGCTGAGTCACAGGAGAGAGCATGTTGGAGACTGTGGTTCACACAACAGACCTGCTCTTTGCTGTCAGAGTTTGCAGTCTAGTTTGAGGAGACTGAGGAGGCGGTCACATTCATCCAAAATTCAGTTCAGGTTTACAACTATGTAAAGTGCTAAGAAGCAAAAGGGGAAATGTTTATAATGTTTTGAGAGTGCATAATGGGGCTGGGGGTGCCAGGATGCCTTTTCTAAGAAGTGATTATGGATCTAAGGCTTGGAAGGATAGTAGGAAGGAGTTAAGTAGACAGGAATAGGGAGAAGGGCAGAGCTTCCCCAATGTGCTGAGGTTTCTGAGTCAGGTGAATGCAGAGAATCCCCAGATGGACTCACTTAGTTGGTAATATTTGTAAGGCTGAAGACCTACCCACCATTTAGAAGCACAGGACCCACCAAACCACACCAAATGAGGACTAAGAAAACCTGGACTCACCTCCAGGAAATGGTGTTAGGATCTCAGTGTCTAAGAGCAGAGAGAAAGAAATGAGGTGTTACCACCACACAAAATAGTTTATGGGGGAGCATCGCATGTATGGGATGACCTCACAGAGTAGACACTGAGCTAAGGGCATGCTTTGGGGAATATATTTGGTAGGTTCTTTCTGATCAGTGGCCAGTGAGAAATTTATAGTGTATTTGGACAACTTGGAGTCCCTCACACATTGTTCTTTCAAACTGGATTGTTTGTGGGTACATGCCTTCTGTCAGGAAAGCAAAGGGGTCAAGTGCATATAGAAGTATATTCCTCTGGCACTCATAGAGAGACTTCTCAGGAAGGTGGTGAAGGGCTTGAGTTAACCAGAAAGGGTGAACTCTTCTCCTTTCATCTCTGAATTTCCTGGATGGGGACAGACAGGTGCGCAGTCCCTTGAGATGCATACCAGATCTGTCCAGACTCACAGGCACTATCAGGGCATCTGAAGTTAGGATTTTCTATAGTCCAGTTTTAGTTCAAGTATAGTTTTAAGTGATAATTTATTAAATAATATTCATATCCTCAGTCCATAATTTTCTAAAGTACATTTATTTAGGCAATAAGAGAGAAACAGTTTGGGGAAAAAAAATCTTTCCTGCATGGTTAAAGGTGGAGAAGCTCCCCGTTTTTTTTTTCCCTTTGTTGAGTCCTTTTGATCCAATTCACTGTTTGTTTTCACTTCTCCTTTACCTTTCCCGGTGGGTTGTATTATTTAATCAGAGGACTGGGTCTTTGTGGAAGCTCCATGAATAATGTATTAAAGTGTGATTCTTACCAAAAGTTTCTGATGTTTCATAGTCATGTTCTATAAGAAAGAAAAGAAAGTTGGATGCAACTTGAGCTTATTTCAATGTCATTTGAGATGAAAAAATTTTTGAAATGCCTCACACTTGCTGGAAAGGTCAGCTGTTGTCCCACTGCTATGACCCCAGTGAAAAAGTTCAGCCTCGGATTAGTCTTAGAGATGGTTGTTCCAAAGAGGAAGTTTGGAAGGAAGGACTTTTTTACTTTTTACTATTGTCAATATTCAATTGTAATACAAACATCTTCATCTAAACTCTGTGCTAAAGAAGAGCCCAGTATACTCAACTGCAGTTGGTTTTTCTGTTTGCATCCTGAGGTTGGCGCTGGGAACACCCACAGGCACATCTTCCTAATGTGCACCTTAGGTAACCAATGTTACCTTATGGGGAGTAGCTAAAACATTGTTTTCATATTAAGAAAAATATAGGTTTATTACAGTTTGGAAGTAAAACTCCATGTGACTTTTTAAGATTAAAGGATTTTTAAGAGTCTATGCTTAGAGTGGGCACCCCTGGGCTGTGCTGTCTGGGGCATGTGAGAACCACTGGAACTTGTTAATCCATGAACACTTATTCTCTCACAGTGATAATGACTTGCCAACTGGACCATTCTCAGCCCCTCTCCCTCTCCCCCTCCCTGCCAAGGGGCTTGGCCCAAGGATATGCTGCCTAGGAGACAGGCAGAGTCCCCTTTCCCCGTGCTCAGGCTGCCTGGAGCGCCCAGAGGAGGCAAAGGGGCCTTCTGCCCAATCCTGCCCATCCCGAGGACTTACAGGAAGGACTCTGGAAAGCACTGGCATGGGCCAACCACAAGGTGGGTCCCAGGGCTCCGTTGAGGACTACCTTTACCCTGTAGGCTGGTGACAGGTCTTGGGAATGACGCGTTAAAGAAGCGGAACTCTCCTCCACTTCCTTAACCAGTTCTCAAGACAGAGCCACCTCAAGAAAGGTCCCAGCTGGGCAGGGCTGGTTCCTGCTGTCACCAGAAGTGAATCTGCTGCTTTGTGACATGTGCAATAGTGTTGGCATGTGGAACAGTCTGGAAGTCGATCCTACAGGACAGGGACATTGTATTCACTGCTGGACCTCCAAGCCTCCTGCAGTAATGACCGAGTCCTTGGCTCTGGGCCCGCTGATGACGGCTCAGATACCGCTTCCTGGCTAGTCAGATTAGGGGGAAATGAGCTGGGCGGCAGGGGAGCAAACTCCTCCGACTCTACCACTGTCGGCAGCTGCGGAGCAAAGAGGAGGCTTCCGCTTGCCCCCAATCCACACCTCGCCTGCACCATCCGAGGTTGTATCTGAGACGCAGCTATTTGGTTTCTGGGAGGCGGATGTCCTTAAACAGCAGAAATATCAGGCACAGCGTCACTGGCAGCCTGCTCCTCAGAATATGGAATGACAGGTTAAGGGTCGGGATTCACAGGTGTCTCTCCTCACAGCGGTGCAGGGAGAGGAAGGAGAGCCACCACTGTGGTTATTATTATATTACCCCAGTTGTATTAGACAAAGCTAACTGGATGTACAAAATGCCACACTGAGAGGAAGGGGGCAGGGTGTGCCAGAAGGCAAGCCAGCTGCTCCTGCAGAGGCTTAGGGCCTCTCACCCCCCACTCCACCCTCTCGCCACACCCGTCCCCCAGCTTTAATGCTCTGTTTCGCTGTCTTGAAATTCTTAATAATTTTTGGAAAAGGAGACCCACATTTTCATTCTGCACTGGGACCCACAAAATGTAGCCCATCCTGGGGTTGGACTAAGTCTTCTCCAATGATTACCATTGGTTCTCAAACAGATGAGAGAAGATTGGGGCTAGATTTAGGGTACCCGGTGGTGTCAGGGAGAAACTGAGGAAACGAAGGAAACATGAAAACGCAGCTTTCCGAGAAGAGAGGAAGACATTTACCGGAGCAGACGACGCCAGCATCTTCCCCGTGCCCACAGTTGTGGGTGAACCAGCCGGCATGGGAGCACTGCCCCAGAGAGGCCT